GGACTGCTTGCTCACGCCATTCTTCTGGGCTTCCAAATTAAGGGAGATGCTTTTTTCCCCTAGTGACTTTTTGACTATTCTTCGATGGTCTTGTGTTAAAACGCACACAATCATATATTGTTTTTCCAAAGGCTTCTTTACATTATCAACTTAGCATTTCCTTCTCAATTTGTTTGGAACAAGTTTTCCACAAGGACTGGGTAGGAGGGCTTTTAAATAAAGCTAACCTTGAGCATATGCAAAGCACTCCTTTCAACCAACTCTCACCCAGCATCAAAGGATGGTGTTCATCAACCTCAAGGAGAATATCTTGCCTTTTGGCATCTCCCTCTCTCCACCTCTGGGGATGGATATTTAATATTTGAACAAATGTATCTTACCCTTGAGTCCTGAGGATCCCTCAGACAGATCCCCTGCCCCCAAATTCTAAGTTGGGTATAGCCTAAGGCCACAATGGAACACTAAATATGAGATAACTTCATAAAATAAAAAAAAATGTGAGGAAAGGAATTGTTGCAAAGAAAACTGTACTAAACAGCAATAATTATGACTCAAGCCTTAATGTTTAAGAACACAAGTTAAAATTCTTTATGCTTCATACGTTTTTTTATATTTCTATAACAAGCTTCAGTGGAACTGAACACATTTTATATGCCTAGATCACTTTGAAGCAAGTGAGCAAATGCATTTTGAATACCTACTTGGTTAACACACCCTAGCTGCTCTGAGTCAAATGCAAGGAATGTTAATTTACAAAAATTTCAAATACCACCCTCTGGGGAATGAAAATCACTCCTTTAAGTTCTTTTGGCAGAAAGCTCCAGGCTACTAACTTTTAATTTTCTACACCAGCCCTGATTTAATGTTCTGATTATATTACAGAGTGTGACTTACACAGAGAGTACATTTTTTACTACCTTGCTTTCACAACAGTCGAATCCACACACCTATCTCTATGGTTACTTTTGTACTGTGCTCACTGAGATTTTATATGCACCCCTCAACCCCTGGGGAACTTCCCTCCACAAAGTGGCCATAAACCAGGACTGAGAGGGAAGGAGGCAGGATTATACACATGATAGAGTAAATAGCAACCATGAATTCACTAATGCACAACTGTTTGCCTAAGTTTTACTTTAGGGAGAGACTCTCTCTTTAAATCTTGTTTTCATACAATGAATTGTCACTCACATTGATCTATCATTTAAAAAAAAACAAGAAGCTCCTCAAATTATGTTTTAAATGACTGTAGTATTTTAAATTTTGTAACTAGCTTTTGTTTCCCATTTTTACCAGATTGCCCTGTGTGTGCTGTGTGCTATATAATAAAATGTATAATGACCTCTAAGATATCTTCATCTTTTTAATCTTCTGTGTGTGTGTGTGTTTGTAAGAAAGAGTGATATTTTGCTAGAATTTGGGACTAAAAAGATATAATATATAATAAAAATAAAAGGATATAATAAAGCTATTTTAAAGTGTATGTGTCATATGCATTGTAAGGGCAGAAGGATAGCAAGAGAAGGAGAAATACAGTATATACACAAATGTTAATAATAAAAACCAAAGGATGCCAAAATACAAGAATATCCACCATTAATTTCTTGAGGATAGGGTTCCTGATCATGTCCATACATTCATCTTTTACTTTCAGAGGTAAGCTTAATGCCAGGTATACAGTAAGAATTTAATTTAATGTTTGCTGCGTTGTATGAGTGATTTTCTCTAGGCATCTCAAAAATGAATATATGCTTGCACCCACAAGATGTAATGGGACTATAGGAAGGGGATACCTGACACTCTGTGAATAATGGAAATGATTGAATTGGTGGGTAAAAGGGGTCTGCATAGAGGTTTATAGCAGGGATTCCTAATTGTTCCCAATTTCTCTACTTCTATAATAACAGTTCCCTTGATTTTTATCTGGACACATTTACCCACACCTTTTGCTGCTAAGTATGCCATGTGACTAAGTTTGGGGCCGATGGAATGTGATCAAAAGGGATGTACACCTCTCAGGGAATGCACTTGAAAGGAATAGGCAGGCCTCCTTTTTCTTCCTTCTCCAGCCACTGGCTAGAAATGGACATGGTGGCAAGCCATTTGGGACTAAGCTGCCAATGGCAAAGTCCTTACACACAGCCTAAAACAGGAGCTGGGTTCTGATGACTTTGTGAAGGACAGTCAAAGGGCCTATAGAACTTGGTGTCAGAAATACACTTCTTTTCTATTGCAGCCATTGGTTATTCTGGGCCTCTGTCACAGTTGTTAAATTAACATGGTAACTGATAGAAACATTAGGAAAACTTGTATAGAGGTGTGCTTACACTCAGTTTCAAGATGAAGTGGGAGTTCACAACGGGGACAAAAGGAGAAAGGCTCTCGAGACTACGGGAACATAACCTATGTCAAGATACAGACATTTGGGGGAATGGTTTTGATAGGGGTTGGGGCGGAGGAGATCGGGTGAGACACTAAGCTGGTATAGCAGGAAATCTGCACACACATATTGCTTATGGCCTGTCTGCTCTGAGTTAATTTTCCAGCCCAGGGACACGAGTGGAGGGGTGCAGGGAGCTAGTGCTATGTGAAGACCAGCCTCAGCACACTAGGACGAGCCTGAGGCCAGGTGTCCAGGAGGTCCATAGGAGCTCGGGGACTGGGCATCACAGGCTCCTGGCAGCAGTGAAGTCCTACTTACTGCTGAACTCTCTTTGTTCAACTCACTCTAAAAAGCCAGCTGGAAATGAAATGTTAAGGCTGTTCTTTAGGGTGCGCCCCTCCCACCCCCACAGTCCCCCATCTTACAGCTTGCCCACTGGCTGATTAAAGTGCACTTTAAAGATTCAATTCCTGTCTTTACTTTACTGGCATTCGGTGGTGACAGGTGGCCCGAACTCCAGTCTTCTGGTTATAGTTTGATGATGTCAAGCAATGATGCTGGAAAGGCAAGGAAGGGCCAGGTCGCAGACACCCTGGCCTTCCTTGCTAGATGATTTGGATTTTTCCCAGTAGACAGGAAGAAACTGTGAGGTAGGTGGGATGGAGCGTGGGAAGATTCACATTAAATATGGAGTGTTAACAAGAAGGCTATCTATGATCGCACTAGTTTTAAAATCCTTAGACTACTACTCTTTTTTTTTTATTTTGTATTTTTTACATCATTTTTCATTTTTGTACAATATGCATTTTCACCTCGGTTATTGTCCGGGTGAAATTCCCACCGCCCATTCACCAGTGATCTATCGCCACGGTCCCTTGTACTCTTCCCACCCTTGTTTTGATCCTACTCCCTTGTCCCACTGGCAGAATGTCTCTGATTTATAATTGTCTGTTGATTTTGATTTTTAATTTATTATAGTTACTTTTTCTTTTTCCTGATCCCTTCTTTGGATCCTCTACATTCCTCCTGTAAGGGAGACCATCCTGCATTTTTTTCTTTCTGGCTTATTTCACTGCGTAGACTACTAGTCTTATTGAAACCTGCTAGACAAGTTTCAAAGTAGAAATACAAATGGTATCTATTGGGGGGAAAAGCAATTTTTTCCTTTCCTTTTCAGTTTTAGAACATGTGTTCTGGAAAGAAAATGTTAAAAGGCTATCAAAGAAGCGCTGAAAATGCACTCAGCAGAAGACTTACATCTCAAGTCACTTGGTTTTATTCTAGAAATAGAATAAAAGAATTTTTTGTTTACGTTCAACAATTAGTATAGCTGACTTATTTTCCTTTGATGCATGAGGATGATTGTCTCTAGGCATCTCAAAAATTAAAGCACCACATTAAAATTGTTTGGGGAGGTTATATTTGTTCCCAGTTCATTCTGTAATTTGGAGGGAGGGGCAAATTAGATCTTTCATTTCAGCAACGTCTTTCTTTGCAGACTTTTTCTGGAAAGGAGAGATGCGGTCTTAACTTCACTAAGACCTTCACAAACTTGCCCTGGAAGAGTCTGTCCAACGTCACGTCCACTGTTTTCAAGAGCCTGTGTAGCGGCAGGAGGACATGGAGCAGGTTCTCTATGATCCAAGCAGACGGGTGAGGGAGGAGTCCTGGAGTCCTCAGTGGCTTTTCAGGCTTATATTGGGATTTTACTGGGTACTCTGCAGGCAGAGGTGGGTTGGGAGGAGGCTGGCAGGCCTCCCAGCCCCCAGCAAGTCTTCCCTCTTTCTGGACTCTCTGCTCTACTGGCGTCCCCATGATGCCACCCTTCCAAGCCCAGTCTCTCAGCACAGGTGTCTCCACTTACGCATGCCCACACCATCAGGCATGCATTCAGAACCACAAGGCTCCATCTTCCATCCTAACTGCGGGAGGGCAGAAAAGCCTGAAAATCACTCACCCTACAGCATGGAAATAAAGCTCGTCTTTCCCCCACTTTTCAGCAGGGCTGCGTCCATCTGTTTAAACACTAACTGCTAAATCCCTGCTAAATCCACCGAGTTGGGTGCCATCAGCGACACAAAATTCTTCAAGAGCACCGCAGGGGGCGAGTCAGGAAAGAGGGGTCACTCGTGTTTCGTGGGTCACTCGTGGGGGGGGGACCCTCGGGTTGGGGTGCTCCGACTGTGCAAGGGCCTTCGGCGTCTAGAGGGCCCAGCACAGGTGTCCGGGCACCGGAGGAGGAGCCGTGCGCCCAGCCAGAGGGCCGCGGGGCCAAATCCCGCGGGAGCGGCCCCTGGGCTGGCTGCGCGCGTCCACTGCGCTCCGGTTGCCTTGGAGACGCGGGTCCAGTGCGAACTGACCGCTCGGGGCTGGGGAGGCCGAGCTCCCCGCCACCTGCGCCCGCGCGCCCCGCGGCCCCGCGCCCCACACCGCTCCGCCTCCGCGTCCGAGCGCCCCTGCGCGTGGCCCGGCGAGGCGCCCAGGCGCGCCCTCCTCCCGGGCACCGGAGCCAGCGGGCGCGGGAGGCCGCGACCCCCTGTCCCGAACCCGGCCGGTGGGACAGGCTGCATTTGAACCAAACGGCCTCCGCGGGCTGCCGCTGCGCTGCGGTGCAGTCCCGGGCTCCGTGGGCTCAGCTGCCGGCACCAGCCGCCGGCGCCCGAGGTGCAGCGGTGCAGCGTCTCGGTCCCCAGAGCCCCGGCAACATCCGCCCCTGGAGTAAGAGGGGAGTCGTGGGAGCGGGTAAAAGGGGCGCTCCTGGGGCTGCGGACGCGCCTCACTGGGGAGCTCCGTCCCCAGAACGGGCCTCGGGAAAAGTTGCTGCCCCCCAACACACACACCTCGCCCCCCTTTTAGAGTGTGAAGGTTTCGCTGGGCCTTTGTCGGGCCCCAGCTCTGGGCTGCACGGATCCGCCGGTAAATGCCACCTTTCCGCCTTTGAGACCCAAGCGAAGGCGGCCTCCGAGGGTGGCCCTGCAGAAATGATGGTTCACCGAGATGAGCTTATCTTTTCTTTCGCAGAGACGATGCTTAAGGGGAAAGGAAAGCCACTTCTTGGAATGTCTGAGTTGTAATTCAGGCTTGAGTTACGGTCCGGGCAAACATGCTGAACCCCACAAGTGAACTGGAGTTTGCAAACCAAGAAGATACCGAGGACATCGCCCAGTTCGCGCCCCTGGCACTGTCAGGTGGCGAAGCATCCAACGAAACAAACATGGCCCCTGTACCCGAAAAGACTGGCTATCCGGACTGCGTTTACGTTATGGCAGCAAATATTTTTCAGGGTATTCGAATGGAAAAGTCACCAGAGAAAGTCCTCATCAAGTACGGGAATGAACCCCTTCCATCCTTGTCGGAGTCTGGGGACGAATCCTTTCAACGTTTGTCCTATGAGCTGGCTTTCAGTACCCTGAAGTGTGAGTAGTACCATCTTAAAGATGAAGTCTAAGAAAACAGTGAGAATTTGCAGAGCTCGTCACCCCCCTTACTCTCCGCACACATGCAAACACATGCTTTGTTGTTACCCAACATGCTTGTCTTTGGTCTGTTGCAAAGGGGAAGGAATTGAGAGAGTTGGAGTAAAACAAGCCCTTTTCACTGCTAATATCCCTGTGCCTGTCCTTAGTGTAATACACAGATATTCAACTGGAGGAGGAGACAGGTCCTTAAGCAGAAAGGAAAATCCATTAAAGTATACAATCATAGTCTTCTCTCTATTTCTTTCCATTCTTTGTGCTTATTTTCTGTTTTGTGAACTTTCACAGAGAGAAAACCAGTAAGGGATGGGAGAAACAAGAGATGGAATAAAGAAAAAAAGGTGCAGTGTTTAAAAAGAGCAATATCAAAATTAAATCAATTCCAATTAAGATGATCCCTTTCAGAGGCAATAGCTTTAATTTTGGGGGAGCTTGTATATTCCTCCAAACTCATTTGCCTGGAGGGTTTTCGGTGCAGTGTTTCAGATCCTCTCGATAGTGGTTAATTAACTTCTGAGGATGATACTAAATTAGAACCAGATACTATAATAACAAGAGTGAGCAGTCAAGGGGTCTGGAGACATTTATTTTTGTACTAGGTATAAACTGAACTAATATACTGTAGTACAATACACTGTAATACAAACTATGAAGTTTTCATTGGTTTGTAAACTGACTGATTATAGTACCAAAAAGAAGTTCCAGAATTTGGAGTATGTTAGGATGGTGGAAATGATGAGCTTTCAAAAAAGACACCTTGAAAGGGAAACACTCTTCAGGACATATTTCCTTAGTATTAGTACTTAATGGGCCTTGCACATTCTACAGGCACTTATCAATTGCTTGGTTGAATTAAAGCTTTCTTTGTTTTTTGTTTTTTTAGTTTCATTCTTTTTCTCCTGCTTGTGATTTTTTTTTTTGTTTGTTTTAAAAATCTCTCTTGTTCATATTTCCTCCTCCAAATTAATCTTCAGTTTGGTTTCATCTCTTCCCTCCTTTCCATTAAAAAAAAATGTAGTTTTGAAGACCAACCAAGCGTTAGACTTTAAATATTGAGTTATATCAATATTTTTTTTTTTTTTTTTTTTTTTGCAGCAGTAAAATACTGACTGGGCATCTAGGTTTGTTGTTGTTTCCTAACTTTAATGACAAAACTCTCTTATAGACTTTGTTTCCCTACTAGAGTATTGAGTCTTACCTTTAGAAATCAATAACTTGAAAAAACTTGAAAAAATTCTGTGTAAAACCAGTGCATTAACTAGATGGCCATGCCATAGTGATATGGTAGTATGCTATCTTTTTCTTTCTCCAAATTTTTATTTCTGTTTTAAGAAAAGGTTTTGTGACTATCTGATCTTTTTTTAATGACACAGAAAACTCCATTCAGAAAATTATTTTCTTAGACCCCCCCAGATCTGGTTTTCCTTGATATGTCCATCTTTTATAAGTTCAAATTCTAAAATAAGATGGATGTTTGTTTACTTGGTACAAGTATTTTCTTCTTTTTTTAAAGATTTATTTATTTATGCATATAAGAACTGGGGTACAGGCCAGAGGTGCGGGGTGGTGGTGGTGGTGGTGAGTGGATTCACCAGAGACAGAACGGGGAACGGAACAGAACAGGAGGAATAACTGAAATACACTGCTGAGGGGAGCAGCGGGCAAGTCAGGAGAGGTCTGCCGTGCCATGTGAGTAGCTCCCTGGCCGGGGATAGAACTCGTGCTACAGTGGCTGTGGACAGCTTCATAGGTTCTGTCTTAGCCCCTTGCACCACCAGGGTGGCCTGTATTTTCTTCTTATAATAATATCTTGCTTTCTATTATCATCTGAATAATTTTTGAATGTCAAATGGAATAAAACTAGAATTCTGAAATGCAGTGGGTTTCTAAGATAATTAGAAACTTTAAAACATTGCTGGGTGTTGTGTCTTTCATCTTTATCTTCTGGATTATTAGTGTTTCTTCCATGTGATAGTTTGTAGATGTAACATTTGTATGGCTTAGGTTCAGGGAATCACTGTTCAGAAAAGAAAAGGCAGGATTTCTTTCCAAAGGTTTTATAGGAGCAGTAAAGCTGAAAAGGTTAATGTAAAAACTAAAGAGAACTTGGATAATGGTCCCTTTTATTGGTGAGTTTCTGGTAGGTAATTAGATCAAATTACCTTTTTTTTTTTTTTTTTTTTGAGGAAGTAGAAGAAAAAATGATAGAAAAATCTCTTCGCTAGACAAATGTGAAATATATTCCTTTGGTAGTGTTGCATGTTTTTCAGTTTTATTGTTTACTTCTTGTTGGTGTTCTTTATGTATAAGCTTTTCAAAGCAGAGAGTGTGTTTATCTGATTAACCTTTTAAACTTTTAAAGGGCTCAGGGTAATGTTTTTTTGAAATGAAGATCTACTAGTCCTGCTTTAATAAATAGCCCCGAGGTCAATTTTCTATTATAGAAGGTAATGAAGAGTAGCACATTCTTACTGAGTGTGACTTCTATCAAGGAAGTAGATTGCTAGTAGCCAGTTTATTTTTTCAAAGACTCTTGGGATATTTCAAGGAATGCTAAATATTAAAAAGGAAGAAAAATTGGCAAAATGATTTTTTAAAAATATATTACTGAGCAACAAATGAAGAGGGAAAGCGAGGAGAGGTGTCCCTGAAATCCTGATCTTATTCTTGACTTAGTATTTCCCCATCCTTCTAGATATACATAGCCGTCAGTGAACTTGCCGTCCCATGAACTGACTGTGAAAAATCTGTTAGTGAATAACATAGCAAATGCTTAATGTATGATTTGGTTATGGCTTTGGGAACTAGTAGTTGGAGCTGGGACAAGACAAAATAAACCATCCTCAGGTTCAATGATTCATTAGGACTCACAGAACTGAGCAAATCTACTTATACTCCTGGGTTACCATTTGTTCCAGAGAAAGGATACAGATTAAAATCAGCACGAGAAAAATTTGTGTAGGGCAGAGTTCAACAGAGACCAGATGCAAATTCCCTAATGTCTTTCCCAATGGAGCCTTCTGGACAGTCCTTAATTCTCCCAGCAACAATAGGAGACAACATGGATGAAGTATTGCCAAGGGAAGCTCAATCATGCCTTGCTGGGCAAGGTTTTTATTGGAGTCAGTCGTGTAGACCATGAGTCATATAGCGCCTATAGACCGTGAGCACTCTCCTGGCTGACCTTACTCAATCCCTAGCTTTTCCAGAGGTCAATCTTACTCAATCCCTAGCTTTTCAAGCTTAAACTGTGGGCCAAGGCCCCATGTGTACAAAGACAATTTAATCAGGTAAGATGTCCACTGGATTATGTATCAGGAGCCAGTTGAGGGCCAAACCTTTGTTTGGAATGTGTGGGGTTTGGCCACCCAGGCCTGCTGATTTAATTGTTGATTGCACAGCTGTTCATTAGGAAAACAATCTAGCTCAATAACCTCTTATGTTCTGAGCATCACGGAGAAGTTAAAGCAATTCTCTTGAGTGACAATAATAATACCTTGTATTTGCATATCACATTGCAGCTCACAAAACCACTTATACCTTTTGATATACCAGTCCTTTGAAAAGAAAGATTCTCACTTAGCATATAAAAAACTTGAGGGAAGCTTAAGAAGAGATTAAATGATATACCCAAACAAGGAAGAAGAGTAAACGATGAAAAAAATCTCCTCTGGTATAAAGGAAGCACCCCCGCACCCCAATTTCTAATTCTAGTGTTTTCTGTGGTTCACATTGTTTTATTTGTATTATGTAATTTTGCATTTGGTGATGCCAGCTTCTTTTCCCTGGTATCTGCTTTTCTTAAATCTTCTTTCCAACGTGTTAGTGACAGTTACTACTTTGTCAAGAAGACTACAGTGATTGTTTCAAGTCTCCCTTTTCCCTCAATCACAAACCCCCACTCATCTATATTTTATAATTATAGGAGCATCTTAGCTTTCTTGAAGTGAAGGTTCTAGAGATCTCTCATATGAAGGAAACTACGAAAACATAAAAATAGGGAGAACCTAGCGGAGAATCAAAACAAGAAGCATGTTCCACTTTACGGCTGGAATGGGAGGGATGATGAGAGAGAGAGAGAGAGAGAGAAAGAGAGAGAGAGAGAGAGAGAGAGAGAGAGAGAGAGAGAATTGGAAATACAGGGGCATTGGAATTAAGAGTTTCCTTCAACTCTTCAACAGACTGAAGAGAAAAGACTTTAATCAGTGGGGCTTGGGGCATAATTGGAGCTGTTGTGCTTAACTAGGATAGGTTTGGAGTCTTCAGGTAAGTCCTGATAACCCACATCAGGCATTAGCAGTATGTTTTATTTAGCCATTCTTGTGTGTTATGAGTGAGATGAGGAAAAGCTGCATAATGTCGTGGTGAAGCGCGTGTAATTTGGTTTCAGACTACCAGGGTCTGCTCTGCCAATTGCTGTGGGGCTGTAACATCTTACTTAACCATTCCTTGTCTTATTTCCTACTCTATAAAGCAGGGATAATGATGGCACCTAATTCACAAATATGTTATGAGAATTAAATGAGTTAATATCTGAAAAGTGCTTAGAACAATGTCTAGCACCTAGAAAGTTCTATCTGAAATATACAGTTACTATTAAAGATTATGGTACTATGTGAGGATGTTACATGAACTGCAGATATGAGAAGGCAATGCATTCCACACAGTATCTGGAACAGGCCAGAGATGATAATGGTTTTGACAAGAACCCTAGAAAAATAGTTCATTGTTGGCAAAAAAACATATTCTGTCTGCTTTTCCTTCACAATGCCTCCTGTTTTGTAGGAGTCCAGCACTCCGATACGCAAAGTTCTACAGCTGACGTAGTCATGTTGTCTTAGAAATTCTTCATTCTTGTGGTGACCATATTTTCCATGACAAAAATTGGAAGTCTTGTGGAGAAACAATGAAGCAGATAGAAACTGGTTTATAAATATGAAGGGTGTGAAATTTCATTTTCCTTAAAAGTTAAATGGGGGAGGGTCTCCCTGGTATCGCAAGGGGTTAAGATGCAACCTATGAAGCTGTCCGCAGCCACTGTAGCACGAGTTCGATCCCTGGCCAGGGAGCTACCCACATGGCACAGCAGACCTCTCCTGGCTTGCCCGCTGCTCCCCTCAGCATTGTGCTTTGGTTGATCTGCCTGTTCTGTTCCCCACTCTGTCTCTGGTGAATCCTCTCCCCCCCCCACCTCTGGCCTGTACCCCAGTTCTTGTATAAATAAATAAATAAATCAATAAATAAAGTTAAATGAGGGATATGACCCCTTGTAGAGTACAGCCACAATTGTAGCTAAAATATTGATAATGGTATGCAAAGGATTTCTTACAAAAACTGTGCTCCTAAATTACCTCCTTTTAATTTTCCCACCCCCCCCAGTTAAAAATTGAAATTCATCATGTGCTGTGCATATAGTTTCCCATAAATGTTAGATGAATTGAACTAGCCTAACTTTCTGTACAAATGACTAAAGCATTTTTTATGTGATGTTTGTGTGTGTGTGTAAAGTTGTATTGTTGTCACAAAAGGAACACATGCAGTCTGTGGTGTAAAAATATGTCCACTTGTTTGCACTTAGTATCTTTGCAGTTATCCCTCTGCCTAAAGTGCTTTCTCCCCCTAGATCTTCACATGGCTGACTTCTTGTCATTTGGGTGTTAGAGTAATCGTCACCTTATCAGTGGCTTCATTTTGAGTTATGCCAAATCTTTAAGTAAGAAATAATACTAATCTAACACAAACTCCTTGAGAGAATAAAGGAAGAAGGAACACTTCCTATTCATTGTGTAAGGTCAGCTTCACCCAGATAACAACATAAACAAGGAGATTACAGTAAAGGAAATAATAAACCAACATCCTCCCTGACTTTAACATGAAACAAAATCCTAAACAAAGTATTAGCAAACTAAATGCAGCAATACACACACACAAAAAATAAAGCATTATAAATTAGATCCTCTTTAGTGTATTTTAAAGGACATAAAGGTTGGAATTCCTTATTTACTGCTTTGAATATTCAGATAGTGCTTCCTTGACTGTGGAGCCTGGGTCACAAAGATTTAGGATTTGTAAAGACTGCAAACATTTCAGCATGGCATTATAATTGAAATCTTTATCAAGAATTGAGCTATATTTCAGCTAGGAAAGTAAAAACTACTGTGACATTGTCAGAAGTATATTGTGATGTCAAAGTTTTCATTTTCTGCCTTGATGTTTTCAGTGACATCTTTCTTGTCTTGCAGATCAAGATATTTTGGAAAGTATATTAATAGACAGCTATATCTATTCAAGTACCACAATAGTAAGTAGACAACTCTATATAGTTAGTTCTTTCATGATAGTTATTTAGAAAGTATTAAAAAATACTCAAATAACTAGTTTACTTAATGCTGAGACTGCTTCAAAATACATCTTCAGCTCTTTCCTGCTTCTAACACTTGCAGTACAGACCCTTCTCCTTTGATTCTGATGAACATACCAAAAATAGTCTTCTTGGAAGCGTTTGGTCTTTACAGTATTTTTTTTTTCTATTTTGAATTCCTTCTATATCTCCTAATACAATGAGACTATGTAAAAATTATCATCCTCCTGATTTCTTATGAAAACTAATGGAATGGGAAATACTGCTATTAGATATTGTTTGCCTACTTCTCTTTGTGTGTTTCCTGTGGTAGCCAGATCACTTGAGCTGCCTTATTATTGTGATGCTGTATGATTTCCAAGATAGAAAATTTCAACCTCGTCTCCTTTCTGATAACGAAGAATCGGTAATGGAAGTTCAAGAAGTGGAGAACCTCCTTAACAGGTAATTATAAAAGTGAAAAGAATGTTTGACAATAAATTGCTATTAGTCTCTTCTTTGGTAAAATATTTAAAATTTATACAGACAAATGTAAAAGTGTGTAAGTTTCTTCCTTTTTCAAGCTGTCCTGAACTGGTTAAATATTCTGTTTAAAATCAAATTGTTTTTGAAAATTTGAATTGTAAGATCCAACTTATAAACATGTGGAAAATCATGAAAACATTAATTTTTTAAATTTTTATATTCCCCATATAATTGCAACCCCCTGATTTTGACCCAAATCCCTCCTTCCCCCCCGCCCCCAAGTGTGTCTCTGGTTCATAGTTGTTTGTTGATTTTGATTTTTTCCTTTCTTATAGTTATTCTTTTTCCTGGTCCCTTATTTAGGTTTTCTAGATTCCTGTTATGAGTGAGACCATCCGTATTTTTCTTTTTCTTTTTGGCTTATTTCGCTAAGCATGATCCCTTCCAGCTCCATCCATGTTGCTGCAAATTGCATGTGTTTATCTTTTTTGAATGCTGAGTAATATTCCATGGTGTACATGTACCACATCTTCTTGATCCAGTCATCTATTTTTGGGCATTTGGGTTGTTTCCAAAGCTTAGCTATTGTAACAGTGCTGCTATAAACATAGGGATGCAGGTGCTCTTTGGAATTGATGTTCTGTGTCCTTTGGGTAAATACCTAGGAGTGGAATTGCTGGATCATTTGGAAGCTCTATGTTTAGTAGGTCCAGAAATCTCCACACAGCTCTTCATAGTGGTTGGACCAGTTTGCACTCCCACCAGCAGTGCAGGAGAGTTCCTTTTTCTCCACACCCTCGCCAGCATTTTTGTTGCTAGTTTTTTTTTTTTTTTAATAATTTTTTATAGAGGCATGTTTTTATTTATTTGTTTGTTTGTTTGTTTGTTTATACATGCACTGGGTACAGTCAGAAGCGCGGGGGGTGAGAGAATTCACCAGAGCCAGAGCGGGGAGCAGAGCAGGCAGAAGGACCGAAGTACACTGCTGAGGGGAGCATGTTGTTGCTAGTTTTTTAATATGTGCCATTCTCACTGGTGTGAGATGGTATCTCATTGTAGTTTCAATTTGCATTTCCCTGATTGCAAGTGACGTTGAACATTTTTTCATATGCCTGGTGGCCATTTGTATTTCCTCTTTGGAGAAGTTTCTTTTTAGGTCTTCTGCCCATTTTTTGACTGGATTATTTTCTTTGTTTTTGTTGAGTCTCATCAGCTCTTTGTAGATTTTTGTGATCAGTCCTTTATTATTAGTCTTGGGTACAAAAATGTTCTCCCAGTCGGTGGGGTTCCTCTTTGTTTTGGTTATTGTCTCTTTTGCTGTACAGAAGCTCTTTAATTTGATGTAGTCCCAGCTGTTGATCTTTGCCTTCGAAATTCATATTAATTTTAAGCACATACAAAAACTAAATTTCATGTGCTGCTGCTATTATTTAAATATCCCCAGGAATTTGATTGGTTCTTGAAAATGATCCAATCCTCCAGCTGGATCCTCTGCACATCTCATGGGACTTGGGATTAGACACTGTTTTCCCCACAGAAATAGAACCATTCATACCTTAGTGTATTTCTATGGAGGAGATAAAGACTCATTTTGAGAGATTCTAGAGAAGAAAGTAATTATGTAGCAAGAATTGAATGAGAATGATTCCTCTTCATGACATTGTGTTTGACCTTTGTTGTTGATGTCTCTCTCAAGGACCTTTTCTTTAATCACACTTACACCTATGTGTGCCAACTTGTATCTTTTTCTCCATTTATTCGTGACTTTGGATTTATAACCCAGGATGATACCTATGATCATTTTTGACATATGCAAGATCTTATATAAAATGCAACTATCATTATAATACTATGTGAATAGGTTAAAAAACAATCACAAAAAGAGGTCACAGTCTCTACCTTTCTCACTTTTAGTGCTCTGACATTAGTCTTAGAATCTGTTACCGCCTTATAATTTATTGGACTTTTGTGAGACAGAATTGGAGAATAAGGCAACTGGAGCAAGAAGACTTGGTAGTCTGTCCTCCCAAACTACCCAGACCTGTGCATCCCGAAGTCTTCCTGATTATAGTTTAGGCACCACTATCTACCTGCTGGTCATCTGGCTCCTTGTATCCCTCATTCTGTAACTTCAGTTCAAAGACATGTGCTGAATTTGTCTACTTTTCCACTCTTACCACCCAAGCACCATAATCCGTCACTGGTACCACTGCAAGAGCTTGCTTGTTTCCCAGCCTGCTGCTCCTACTGTCCCCCAATCCATTCTACACAGCAGGTACGGTGGTCATTTTAAAATGTGATTGTGTGGTCATGAGAGAGTATCTTGGATCAGACTTATCTTCCGACACCAGATAAGTAGAAACGACTAGGAAACTGGACAAAATGTATGAGGCAGAGGTTTTGGACATTAGAGAAGCAGTACAGAAACTTGATTCCTGAGAAAATGAAAACCAGTGAGGTGAGCCCTGGAATCGTTCTGGCTATATGCCTACAGGCACTTTCTAACTTTCATACAGGAAGGGATCCCAAGGGGAGAACCGTAGTTTTGCTAAATTAAGAAAACAGAGATTTAAGTTTTAGAAAGCTGAAATGATCATTTGGTTTTGTCTTCTTTGCTACTGTGGTGAGGTGATTTACATAGAATTTTTTTTTAAAGATTTATTTTATTTATTTATACATGCACTGGGTACAGTCAGAAGCGCAGGAGGGTGAGAGAATTCACCAGAGCCATAGCGGGGAGCAGAACAGGCAGAGTGACAAAGTACACTGCTGAGGGGAGCAGCGGGTGGCAGGAGAGGTCTGCGCGCCATGTGGGACCCTCGCCCAGCGGCCGGGGATCGAACCAGTGCTGTAGAGGCTGTGGGCAGCTTTGCAGCCCAGTGCTCAACCACGCCACCAGGGGAGGCCCCAGAGGATGTTTTGAGTGTTAAATCAACCATGTTTTCATGGGATAAATAATATTTGCTCAGCTATATCCTTTTTCTTGTTTTCCCTGTTCTCTAGCCCTTGTAATGTTCCAGAGCCTCTTATTTGCCAGATGCCCCCCTAGATCCTTTAATCACTCATTTTCTTGTCTCTCCTTCTTTAGAAAGTCTTAGTCTATTTCACTGACCTAGGGGATGGGCTGAACAGTCATCAATATGGTGTCTGCTTTTATATTTGTATGGGGCATTCAAGCTGTTCACTGGAGATTATCTTTTGGCATTAAGAAAAAATTCAATTTGTATTTAAAGAGAATTGCATTTCTGGTGTTAAGAATTAGTAATGACACTCAAAAACGTGTGCTATTTTGTTCATTTAATATAATTTCTGAAAAATTTGAAATCTAAAAGAAGTAAAACATCAAAAAAAAACCTCATGTATTAGTTAGGATTCTTTCTTGGCAACTGTGTCCCCACTCAAACTAAATTAGGCAAAAGGGAAAATTGATTAGACAGCATCTCATGAAAAGATGAACATTGAGACTGCAGGGAGCGTGAGTAAATCCTGTGACTCCTCAGCTCTAGTCTCAGCTTCTACCTGTGCTTTGTTTTCTCTCTCTTTTTTTAAAGATTTATTTATTTATACAAGCACTGGGTACAGTCAGAACCGCGGGAGGGTGAGAGAATTCACCAGAGCCAGATGGGAGAGCAGAGCAGGCAGACTGACGAAGTACACTGCTGAGGGGAGCAGCGGGCGGCAGGAGAGGTCTGCGCGTCATGTGGGACCCTCGCCCGGTGGCCGGGGATCGAACTGGCGCTGCAGAGGCTGCGGGCAGCTTTGCAGCCCAGTGCTCAAACGCTACGCAACCAGGGAAGCCCTTTGGCCTCTTCTTTTTATCCTTTTCTTCCCAGAGTCAGATACTGGTGGGGAGGACTCAGAAGTTTCCAATCTCAGCGCCAAACACTAGAAAGATTGACTTGACTTTGTTTCTATTTGGTATGCTAAAGAAATCTCTTGACCCTGAGGTGGGTCAAGCGAGGCCCAACCTCTACCACTCAGCTATGGCCGAGGACCAGAGTCAGAGACAGCTCCCAAGAAAAGTACATGGATCGTAGTCAGGAAGGAGGAGGGACATTTTTCAGAAGAGGAGAGGTTCTATTCCCAGAAGGGCAGGTGTGTTTAGACTACACACCAGTGGGTTTCTACCATAAATGGAAACATTGGGGATAACTTTGGTTTTGGCTATTCTTTCTTGGGACATACTATATTGAGTATAATTTGATATTACATTAATACAAGTTTATTTCATTCTGACTGTATGAGGAGTGTTGTTAAGAGGAGATAGTCGGGCAATTGTCTGATAACATTCCCATTGTAACAGGAGATGGACTTCTGGATCAAGAATATGCAAAGATTTCCTTTGAGTCAATGCTTTTGCCTTACAGCTATGGGAAAAGTTTTATAGTAATCACAGGATATTTCGTGACAGTAGTAATATGTCTGGTTATCCTAATTTGGATTTGGCCTCAATCTGATATTGTATATTTACATACAAATCTCTACAACTGTATACATACCTTAAATTACTTTTGAAGTGATTAAATTATGGTAAGAGTCACAATCCAAATGTTTGCTACCTGGAAATTTATAAAATGATTTCTCTCTGTACTCCCCAATATACACAACACGTGTGTATATTTTTCCAGGCTTCATGTCTCTCTAATGATTGAATCATTCAGACAATAGCATTTATTATCCTAAATTTAAACTAAGTAGGTGTTTGGAGGAATATTAAATCAAAAATGGTCTGGATGGAGTGGGAGGAAGAGGGAAGTGGAGGAAAGCGGTTAAAAGGCAAACTTCCAGTTATAAGTAAGCCCCAGGGAGCCTCCCTGGTAGCCCAGGCGGTTGAGTGCAGTGCTGTGGAGCTGTCCGCAGCCTTCGCGGCACGGGTTCAATCCAGGCTGGCAGGGAGCTACCCACATGGCACAGCAGACCTCTCCTGTCTGGCCCGCTGCTCCCCTCAGCAGTGTATTTCGTCAGTCTGCCTGTTCTGTTCCCCACTCTGTCTCTGGTGAACCCTCTCATCCCCCTCACCTCTGGCCTGTGCCCTGGTTCTTGTATGCATAAATAAATAAATCTTTTTTTTTAAAAAAGTAAGCCCCAGGGATGTGATATATAGCATGTGACTATAGTAAACTGCTATGTGATATAGAGGCAAGCTCTTAAGTAAGTAAAAAAGTTCCCAAGTAAGTAAATCCTAAGACTCTTATCACAAGGAAAAATATTTTTTCTTTTTGTTGTATCTGTATGGGATGATGGGCACTAGACTTAGTGCAGTAATCACTTCACAATATATGTAAATCAAACTATTATGCTGTATGCCTTAAACTTAACAAGGTGACATATGTCAATTACATTGTAATAAAACTGAAAAAAAAATAATCAGCACTCAGAAACATCTCATGGTGTATAACATAGAACGTTAATTCACAGCCTTTCTATTAATTTATTCTTTGATGGGCATTTTGTATTCTATAATTTTTGTGTCCCTTATTGCATCTTCGAGATGTCAGGCAGAGCATGATACAAATTTAATTTCTTGTCGTTCTAGAAGGTGTAATGTTTGCTAACCCTTCCTCCCCAAGGGCCCTGTTTTTTTTCTCTTCTCCATCCCACCCCTCATGCACACACACACATAAACACATTCTGAGGGGCAAGGCTCTTGCTCTGCTGGGTAGATAGGAAGCTGAATCTTACTGAGCGTTCTACAAGCACACACAGCATTCAGGCTTTTCCTTTATGGTGCCTCTTTCCCATTTCTCATTCTCATTCAGGGTTACAGTCGGGCTTCACTTTTCAGTAGATTCCTACTATAAAAATGTTCTGAAGATAGGTCAAGAGAAACTTGTATTTTCATTGAAGTTTTGGCTGTGAGATCAAGAAAGACCACCCACCGGTCTTCATGGTGATGCTATGTTTCTGTCACTTGGAACTTTGAGGTGTAGAATATTCAGAACCTTCAGCTCCAGGAAGGACTTGCTACAGAGCCATGAATGTTCCTTAACTTAGCCAGACTGTACTGTTGCCCTCTGTGGGAACAGCACTAGCCTATAGTGCATGTCTGCTCGGCGCCATGCACTGTGCTAAATATTTTGCACGATTGGTAATCACTACATTAATAGCAAGGTAAGTTGAACACATTTGCGAGATAAAACAGACAGAGAAAAGAGGTTCAGACAGAACCTGAATTTAACTTCGTATTTGTCTGACTCTAATTCCTCCACCTCTTTCACTACATAAAAATGTTCTTCAACCAGAAATTGATATAAAAATCTAAAAATATGACTAACTCTTTGGGGCAGCTAAAAGTGATGAAAGGAAGCGGGATTTTTGGATTTCTGTTTTAAATAGGGCAAATTTTTATTTCAGACTTCAAAAAAATTGAAATAGAATGATAGAAGGGTATATTAAAATTCTAAGTAGAATTTGTTATTATTTCTAGTGGGAAACTGATAATCTTGTCTTCAATGTAGTAGTCACCAAGAATGAATTTTCTGTCTCTAGTTTTAAGATAAAATTGGCTGCGGCATTGGCAAGATATCGAATCAAACATGATGCCCTTTCAATTTACCACATTCTTCCGGAAATAATTAGGAAACAGGAGCTAAGGGCCTCCACTTTGCCACTTTATGCTTGGATTAATACTTGTAAAATCAGGTAAGAATTTTAAATGAATTCTTTATTCCTATTTAAAGCTGCTAACCTTTCAAATTAATGTGCTAATTAATCATTACCTTTTTAGTGGGTAGGAGTGCACATCTGAGGTAGTAATTGGGGAATCATAGTTTATTTCAGGATCTTATCACCAAATTACCAAAGATAATTACATAAATATGTTAACTTTTCTGTTTCTAATTACCTTTTAGCTTATTGTTGGCTAAAATTATAAGTTCCATTAAGATGATATTTACTGCAGGAAAAAGATGCTAGCGTTAAATATATTTTTGATGTATTATCTTGTAATTGCAACCCAATGTTGTATATTCACAGCCCTGAAGAAGTTTATAACATTTTGAAGAAAAAAGGCTATAATAAGGTCACATCTGTGTTGCATGTTGATGATAAAGTCTTTGCTGTGGATCAACATTGCTATGATGTGTTAATTTTTCCATCTCACCTTAAAAGTGATCTTCTAAATATAGATCTTTTCAAAGATTGTAAACTTATATTTCAGGTAAACTAACATTTGCTTTAATTGTGATTCTCAATAATCCTACTTACCCAAAGAATCCCTCCACTTGAAAATAAAACCTAACAAACTTGTAGATTTTTTAAAAATAAATTATTAGGGAGGTTTATAAGGCCTAACTGTCATCTTGAATGAAATGAATACCTTTACAATCAGTGTTCCTATTATTCTTTGACATCCTTGTCCCATGTCAGGTTGCAAAGAACATATCTCCTCCTCAGACTCCATAGATGGAAGGAGACTTGTGTTTCTGGCAGCTGAAAGGCTGTATCTTTTTCTTCCAAGGGAGATGCAGGAGAAGGTACAATGATACCTTGTCATCCTTCTATCTTTTGAGAAGATGCTAGTGCCATCCAGTATTTGAAAACCCATTATCTCTTTACTATAGTCTTGCAGCTTTGTTGTTTAAGAAGAGTACAATGGCTGTCAATGAAGGAAGTAAATGTGAGGTACAATGTAATTTCATAGAACGAAAAATAAAAGGCCCCCCAAATTAAGTTGAAGTCATGTTTATGACTTTAGTTTCTAATTATTGCTTCAGCTCCACCTTGGTCTTCTGTTCATCCCTTCACTCCACCCATATTCTTGGGCAGCCTCTCTTGGACTTATCTATAGTGGTACCCTAATAACGAAACCCAGTCTGTCTATCCCCCTTTATAAGCTTGTTAACCGTCTTACTTTTAATCTCTTGGTATTGTCAACACTATATAAAAGTGAAATGACAAGTCATAATTTAGGCCAAATAAAGTTAGGATCTTTGTTTTCAATTTAGTTTATATTAATTATCTTCTTCAAGATTCTTACCGAGTACTTACTTTTACCTAGGGCAAAAGAAAGTAAGTTCATGCTTCTAGTCAAACCTTTTGAAATCTAATCATGTCATTACCTTATAGGACAAATCTCGAAGTCTTGCTGTCCACTCTGTAAAGGCTTTACTAAATATGGATGATGATATCTTAATGGTCAATACAGGTTCATGGTACACAGTTGCCCATATGTCAATATTAACAAATAATAATACCTCAAAAATATTTGTGTGTGGAGTGCAATCACAAGCTAAGGACCCAGACCTGAAGAAGCTTTTCACAAAAATGGGATGTAAAAGTATGTACAAATATTTGTTTGGTAATCAATGTTCTACAAGATTTAGAACTGTTAAAAATGTGTGGGTATGTTCAAACGCTGTTGGGGAGACTGTAATTTTGTACCACCACTTTGAAAGACCAGCGTAAGTCACTAACATTATATGTGTATGCATCTATATAACTCCTATGACCCAGCATGTCACTTTCAGGTTTACTACAGCTCTGAATTTTTATCTACCTAAGAATTTTTACCTAAGAGAGGATAGGAACCACTGGGTAGCCAAGCAGCAGAAGAATAGTTTCTCCTTTTTAGAAGTATTCCAGCTAATGAATCAAACAGGGATGACAGAATTTGAATGTGACTACTCTGCAACTGCTGTCCTGGTATTGAAAAGGCAACTTAATGAATGAATATGACATCACTTTTGAGGATTAGTTTTGCTTCCCTCTCCCCTCAAAAAATAAGAAAAGAAAAAGAATAGAAATCTAATTAAAATTCTAAAGATTTTGGGCCTCCCTGGTGGCACAAGGGGTTAAGATGGTGTAAGAGACACTGTGCTAAACCTAAATGCATTATCTCAGTCTTCCCACAATTAGATGAGGTAGGTATTAATGTCCCACCTTATGAATAAAGAAATGGAGGTTAGAAAGATTAAGTCACATAGCTTGTAAATGGTGAAGTTGGGAGTCAGACTTGGTTATTTCTGCCTCCAATGCACATTTCTCTTCACTCCAGCTTACTACTTTAAATGGAATCTGATGTTCAGAGTGGAAAATTTAAATTATGTTTTCATAGAAAATATTAAACTTCAAAACTGTTAAGTGAAGGAGAAAGCATTCCAAGAAGAGAATTCATGTATTAACTTTGGGAAGTTATCAGAGAAGAATAGCCCTTTTCTGACTACATTAAAATGACCTTTTGTGGAGTTGAGGATTTAAAACTGAATAATAGATATAATTACATATTGCAGTGACATTTTTTAATGACTATTTCTACATCAATTTTTCTGTTTTTTTTTTTTTCTTGGTCCCAGATATTGAAATACTTCATGAGACATTTCTTAACATTGAATCAAAGAATCTTAAGTTACAGAAAGTTAAAGTGATTCTGCTGCTACCTCGTTGTTCAGGACTGGGTGTTAGTAATCCAGTGGAATTTATTTTAAATGAACATGAAGGTATTTGTTTTAACTTTAAGCTTCTCAGTCATTGCAATTTGTTGATAGTAGTATTAAAAATAAAATTCTGTAAGATCATTAAAATGACATCAAATATATTGATTAATGTCTGGCTATCGTGTATTTACTGCATATAAATTACATCCATAACCTCACTTAATCTTTACACACTTTGAGATATGAGCAAGGGGGGAGTATTCAAAATATATAATAATTGGAAGGATTTAGGCAATCAAAACAGATGCTGGCCAGTTTACTATTCTGGTATGTATTAGAGCTCAAAATATAGGCATTAAAACTCAGCATCTCATAGATGAAAAAACTGAGGTTCCGAAAAGAAAGATTAGTTTATTTGTATAAGCTCACATGGCTACTTAACAGCAGAGGGAGGATTTAGATCTGAGCTGCCTGACTCTGGAGCCTAAGATCTCAAATGATCCTAATTCGAAGTAGACGATTTCAAACTCAAGACTTCTTTAACCATTAGTATGTATGTTTGCTAATATGAATACCTCAGGATAAATGTTATTTGCTTCTTTAGTAGAATTGAAATTATTAACATTAACGTTTATTGAGCACTTACATGTAAGACACTGAGCTAATCACTTTACTTGGTGGTTTCATTAAATCCTCACAAGAAAATGAAATAGGTAGTTACCCTATTTCTTTTCACAATTATGCAATCTGAGGATTCAAGCGGTTGGCACCTCCCAGAGTCCTTGTACCGGCAAGCGTCATAAAGTCATAGAGCAATGTATATAGAGTTGCGCACTATTATCTCAGCTCATATTATCAAGAAATATCTTTAAATTTATACATGTATTTGCTTCCTTGAATTTTTTTCTTCCAAATTCTAAGCTTGTAAGTTAATGTTTTCAGTTGTATCCTTGTGTGTGCTTTGCTACTGAGATCTGACAACAGCCTACCAGTTTTGACCTTAAAATGCAAATCCTCCCTTTTCTTCCACTAGAGCCCACACTGACTGTAATTTCTCTTCTGCACCTAAATGACTTATCTGGCTAGTTGGAAGACTATGCATAAGTATTTGGATAAAAAGGAAAATAATATTAAAGCTAAATAAAATTACAGATATTTCGTTTTAAAGTTTTTAAAACACTATTTAGTTCTAATATTTTCCATGAAAACTTTCATTAATAGGGAAAATGTTTAAAAATTGATATACTATAAATATGTGAAAATCATTTAATAATGATATATTAAAAGCATTTCTTTGCTTTTAGATCTAGATTTACTTAAAGATCTCTCTCAAGGAGGCATATCAGAAGATAAACTTCACGTTTTTGCTGAACAGCAATATGAACAGCTAAAACATGCAATGAAATGTAAGTTTGTTATCAGTGCAGTCGTTAAATATGCTATAACTCTTAGAAATATTAATGTTCCTTTTATCTACTATAATCAGATGTTGAGGTATGAACCAGAAGTAAATTTTCTAGAAGTCTAAGTACTTTCAAATGTCAAGATATTTATTTTTATCAATTTAATTTTTTTAAAAATATGCTTTACTCTAATTTTGAACGTAGGCTAGAAAGTATTGACAGAGTCTTAATGTTAAAGTGAAAAAATTATGAATTTCTATTATTATACAGTTTTATCTTCTCTCTTTTCTTTGGGTTCTTGATGTAATTTTTATGTTTATTTGTCCATAATAATTCTAGAATTCTACTTTTAATCAAACTATTTCTTGTGGTGCTAAGTAATGAATAGAAACACAATTATAGTCAAAAAACAGATTTCTTGACTTGATGTCTGAGTAACAAAATGTCCTTATGTATTTCTATTATTGCTTCAGTCACTTCATTAGAATGGAGTACCATGTAGATCTTGAGTAACTCTGCCCTCCGTACATAATGTGGAAATCTAGAAGTCTCTGAGAAAATTATATAAAATTTTATTAGTTCAGCACATCTTTATCAAGTGTCTATTCTGGGTCAGGCATCAAACCATGGATGTTAGGGATACGCCTGTGAATAAATCTTGACTTGCAAATGCTCAAAGATAAGTGTGTGGGTATAGAATGGTCAATAATAAAGAAATAGCAGGCATGAAGTAAAATAGCATGCATGCTCTTCAGTAAACTGAAGAGGTCTTCCCCTCCAGTTGATGCTACTAATAAACAGGATTTTGAATATGATAGTGTATATACAACTATGAAATCCATTGGGCTGTAAGATTAGGAAATTGATAAATAATAAAAAGTTTTTTTATGCTTTAACTACTTTAAAATTATAGTCTCATCTTCTAAACGAACTATTCTCTTTCTGATATTTTCTCTATAGCTATATCATTTCCTTACCATACTGTATAATTCTATTCAGCTATGTCTTAGCATCTCAATAAAACATAGAAAGGAAGTTCCCTAGGGGTAGGGATTTTTGTGGTATACCTCAAAGGTCTGAAACAGTGCCTAGCACATAGCTGCTGCTTGATAAGTGTGAATAAGTGAGTTCTAATAAAGAAACTGAGAGTCTAAGTCTCTTTCCCAGGTTCATTAGTAGTCAGTAACAGAATTGGGATCCACATCTAAGTCTGTTGCTCTCTTTTATTTTTTAATTAACTAATCAATTAATTTGTGGTAACTTTGGTTACCTCAGAGGACTAGGTTCACACCTTCTGGAATGTTTCCATTCCTTTGTTTTGTTTTTTTTATATTCCACATGAGCAAAATGATCCAGTATTTGTCTTTCTCTCTCAGGCTAATTTCACTCAGCATCATCCCTGCCAGTTTCATGTTGTCACAGTGACAAGACTTCATGTTTTTTATTTTGTAATAGTTGAATAGCATCCCATCATGTATATGTACCACATCTTGTTAACCCAGTCATCTGTCTCTGGGATCATAAATTGTTTCCATAACTTGGTTATTGTAAGTAGTGCTGCAGTGAACATAGGAATCCATATTTCCCTTTGAGTTTTTGCATTTTTGGGGATAAATGCCAAGGAGTGAAATGACTGGATGACATGGTAATCTATTTAAATATTTTGAGAAAACTTCATTTCATACTGTTTTCCAGAGTGGTGAACTACCAACATATATAGGGGTTCCTTTTTCTCCACATGCTTGCCAAACAAATTTGTTTCTGTTTTTTTTTTTTTTTTTTAATGGGTCACACACACACAAAAAACCAAAAACGTGAGGTGGTGGGCCTTCCTGGTGATGCAAGGGGTTAAGCAATCTGTAGCCTCTGCAGCACAAGTTTGATTCCTGGCCAGCCAGGGAGCAACCCACATGGCACAGCAGACCTCTCCTGTCACACCCACTGCTCCCCTCAGCAGTGTATTTCAGTCAGTCTGCCTGTTCTGTTCCCCACTCTGTCTCTGGTGAATCCTCTCACCCCCCGCATTTCTGGCCTGTGCCACAGCTCTTGTATGCATAAATAAATAAATCTTTAAAAAAAAAAAAACCAAAAACCTGAGGTGGTATCTCATGGTTTTGATTTGTATTTCCCTGATAAAAGTGATGTTGAACATTTTACTCATGTGCCCGTTGGCCATTGTATGTCTCTTTGGAGAAGTATCTATTTAGTTTTTCTGTTTTTTTTTTATTGGATTCTTTGTTCTCTTTTTATTAAGTTGTGTAAGTTCTTTTTGTAAATCATGTGTATTAGCCCCTTATGGGATATATAGTGTCCAGAAAATTTCTCCCATTCAGTAAGGTATCTTTTTGTTTTATCAATAGTTTCTTTTGCTGTACAGATACTTTTTAGTTGGATTTAGTCCCATTTTTAATTTTTGCTTTTATTTTCCTTGTCACTGGAGTTGAGTCCCAAAGACACCACTGAAAATGTTGTGGAGTGTTTTACCTGTTTTCTTCTATGTATTAAATGGATTCTGGTCTTTGATCCAAGTCTTTAATCCCTTTTGAACTGATTTTTGTGTATGGTGAAGAGAGTGGTCTGGTTTCATTTTCCTGCACGTAACTGTCCAGATTTCCCAGCACCACTTGTTGAAGGGACTTTCCTTTCTCTGTTGCATACTTTGACTCCTTTGTTGTAGATTAAGTGTCCACGTGAGTGTGGAGTTTGTTTCTGGAATCTCTGTCTCTTTCTAGAGTCCTCTTAACTAGGTATGTGAGAAGGCTTATAGAAGCATGGCTAAAAGTTATTAAGCTCATGGTAATCTGCAGTCTTTGTGTTTGTAACTAGGTTGAATTTTCAGTTTCTATAGAATCATGTTTACTTTACTTAGTGGCCACAGTCTACATTACTAATAATACACACTTTAAAGGGAAGTCATACAAGCATCTATGGAAATTCCCATCAAAACCATGTTGTGGTCTTAGTCATCAATTAGATGTGTGGAAACAGATTTGTTTAGGGCTTTTAATGGGAGTCATTATAGTAATTACATCTTCTTTAAATATAGTTACTAAAGTTCAAGCAGTTGTTTACTGCACATGTTCAGTATTTCCGGAAGAAAATGAAGCTGTTGTTAAGAAAGCACTGGAATTTCAAGATCTTGGGCTTAAAGTGCAACCTTATAGGTAAGAAAGGAAAGAGTCGTCTAAACAACTCAATGTATTATCTTTGCAATTGAAAAATTATGATTTTGTAATTTGTATAAAGATGTTTCACTTCCTTTTTGTTGTATTTTAATATGACCAAGTAGCCTAACTTGTTACAACTTTAAAGTATTTATATCATGTGGAGCCTTTGAAATGGCTTGGCATACTACACACTAAAAGATTATTATTGGTGTTGTTATTATAGTTGGTAAAGTGAAAGGTATTTTGGCTTAGACTTGATTGGTTTCTGGAAAAATTGGGCCCAAAATTTTTATATCCCAGGATTTAGGTACACCTGTACCTCAGTAGAAGAAAAATAAGTATGTAAAATAACCTTAGAAAGTAGAGAGAAGGGCCTCCCTGGTGGCGCAAGGGGTTAAGCACTGCACTTTGAAGCTATCCGCAGCTTCTGCAGCACAAGTTCAATCCCTGGCCTGACAGGGAGCTACCCACAGGGCACAGTAGACCTCTCCTGTCTCACCCTCTGCTCCCCTCAGCAGTGTATTTCAGTCAATCCGCCTCTTCTCCCCACTTTGTTTCTGGTAAATCCTCTCACCTTTTCCTCCTCCACTTCAACGCCCCCCCCTCCACCCACACCTCTGGCCTACACCCCGGCTCTTATATGCATAAATAAATAAAATAAATCTTTAAAAAAAAAAACCTTTCTGTAAGGATAAAGCATGGTAAAAATGGAGGAACATCCATATTTTATTTCAGGTAAGCCATGATTAATTATTACTCCATAAGGTGGTATAAAATATAATATTTAAAGACATTATAAAGACAGAATAATCTGGGATTTGGGCTAAAATTGGAGAATGTACATTCAAGAGGTGTATAACTACTTTTTGGGGATGGCTTGTTAAGGGAAGTACTCCCTATGGCCTCTGAGAATTATTTCTTAATTCCCAAAGTGGTAGAATTTAGGGTTAAACACTTGTAAGTCAGCTAATTAGCTATGTGTTGTTTAAATTTCTTTTTCATATGCTGGAAACATGCAGCTCATTTTGGATTTTAAACATGATGCGACTTACCTGTGCAACGTATTTTTCTTGCCCCCATTCTAAAACCTGATATTACAGAAATACAACTTTAAAAAGAATAAGTTTTCCCATCCTTTTCCATTCTCAACAGTTGATTTCTAGTCTTCCAGATTATTCAGCACCAACAGTTGTGTACATTTTAAGTTTTACTTGGGTATTGTCAAATTATCCCCCAAAATATACATGCTTTTCCTCAAGGCCTCTACATTTTGTGTTGTATTGATTCTTACCTTGTAAATGTTTTTGCCAGCTTTCCTTTAGTATTTTTATAATATCATCTTTTTACACTTAATCGACTTACTAGCTGTTTATTTTGGTAAAGGCATAAAGTACAAGTCAAGCTTTATTTCCTCCAGAATCCTTTCTCACCAACCCCAGTGATGTAAAAGACACCTTCTTATATATAATCCTGTATATACTTCCGTGAGTGTCTAACTCTGTTCCACTGATATTTGGCTATTTCTACACTAATATGACAGTGCTTTAACTATCATTTTAAATGGTTTTCTTCTCAAATATTATTTTTTTAATTACCAGAACTCCTTCCCACACTTGTATATCAAATAAAACAATCCAAAGATGCACCATGAGGTTAATAACTTCCTACCTGCAAGTCTCGGCGTCCCATCAGCAGCTGGAACGGGGTCCTGGAAGTCCCTTGAACAGCCAGATGTAATCCTCTGCTCCTTCTTATTGTGTGAAGGTCTGGAGGGGCACAGGGAGAACTGGAGGGGCTAGGGGCACCAACCACAGAAACAATATTTTTACCACCAGGACAGACAGGCCGAGTAAACCACTTGACCACCAGCCATATGGATGTATGCATGTAGTCTGTTACAAATTATTTATACATTAAATATATGTAACTTCTTATTTACTGTTACATTATTATTTTTTTTTTAAAGAGGCATGTATTATTTATTTGTTTGTTTGTTTGTTTGTTTATACAAGCACTGGGTACAGTCAGAAGCACGGGAGGGTGAGAGAATTCACCAGAGCCAGAGCGGGGAGCAGAGCAGGCAGAAGGACCGAAGTACACTGCTGAGGGGAGCAGCCGGCGGCAGGAGAGGTCTGCGCGCCATGTGGGACCCTCCTCCGGTGGCCGGGGAGCAGCCGGGGATCGAACCGGCGCTGCAGAGGCTGCGGGCAGCTTCGCAACCCAGCGCTCAACCGCTGCGCCACCGGGGAGGCCCTACTGTTACATTATTGACATATAATTCACATACTGTGACATTCATCATTTTGGTGTATAATTCACTGTATAATTTCCGTATTCAGAAAGTTGTTCAACCATCACCACTATCTAATTCGAGAATAGTGTCATCACCCCAAAATGAAACCTCCTACACATTCAGCAGTCATTCCCTTTGCCCTATTAAGTCCCTTCAAACTCTGGTCTGCTTTCTGTCTCTATGGACTTGCCTATTCATTTCATCTAAATGAAATACAATCTGTGATGTTTTGTGTCTGCTTCTTTCAGTTGGCATAATTCAAGTTTCATGCATGTTGTAGAAAATTATCCAAACTTCTTTTTTAGGCCAAATAGTCTCCATTTCTGTTGTAGGAATATGACACAATTTGTCTATTCATTGGCTGATGCCACTTCAGTTGTTTCTGCCGTTGGGATATTATAAATAATGTTGCTGGAAATATATGTGTACAAGATTTTGTGTGAACTAGGTTTTCGTTCCTCTTGGGTATATGCCAAGAAAAATTGCTGAATCATATGTCAACTCTATGTTCAATGGTTTGAGGAACTGCCATACTGTTTGTCAGTGTGGCTGCATCATTTTACCTTCCCACCTGCACTGTAGCAGTGTTCTGATTTCTCCACATCGTCACCAACACTTGGTCTTACCTGACTTTTGACTCTAGCCAGCCTAGTGGGTGCAAAGTGATATCTCATTGTGATTTTTGTTTGTGATTCCCTGATCACTACAAGGGTTGAGCTGCTGTCCCTATATTTACTAGCCATTTGTATATCTTCCTTGACCAAATGTCTGCTCAGATTCTGTGCCCATTTTTAAGGTGTGCCATTTGTCTTTTAGTTTTTAGGGTGAGAGTCTCTTGTATATTCTGTATATCAGACCCTCATCACAAATATTATCCCCCATCATATTATTGTTTTGATAGTGTCTTTTGATTCACACATTTGTACTTTTGAAGAACAGGTTATCAGTTTACTATGTTGTTACCTGCGCTTGAGGTATCATCTCTAAGTTGTTGCCTAATTCAAGGCCTTGAAGAATTATGTCTATGCTCTTACAAGCATTTTATAGTCCTGGTTCTTGTATTTATTTATTTATTTATTTATTTATTTATAATAAAGTGGCTTTGTTCACTTTTTTTTAAAAATAAGATTTATTTATTTATTTATTTATACAAGCACTGGGTACAGTCAGAAGCGCAGGAGGGTGAGAGAATTCACCAGAGCCAGAGGAGAGCAGAGCAGGCAGAAGGACCAAAGTACACTGCTGAGGGGTGGCAGGAGAGGTCTGCGCGCCATGTGGGACCCTCCTCTGGTGGCCGGGGAGCAGCTGGGGATTGAACTGGAGCTGCAGAGGCCACGAGCAGCTTCGCAACCCAGCGCTCAACCACTGCGCCTCCAGGGAGGCCTGGTTCTTATATTTAAATCTCTGATCCACTTTGATTTTTGTATGTGACATAAGTAGGCTTCCAACTTCCTTCTTTTATATGTGGATTTCCAGCTATCAGGCACTGTTTGTTGAGAAAGCTATTCTTTCTACATTGAATGGTCTTGTCCTTGTTGAAAAATCAATTGACTGTAGATGTATGGGCTATTTGTGTTTTCTTAATTCTATTCCATTGATCTATAAGCCCATACTTATGCCAGAACCACCATAAGAGGCTTTCAAGATCACTAACGGATGCCTTGTTTTAGCAAAAGCCTTTGTAGCATTTAATGATATAATCAAATGGTTTTTTTTCCCTCATCTGATATTTTAACATGATGATGAATTAATGTTGTGTTTTCTAATAGTGAATGATCTTTGAGGGCTAGTTTTGACAGACTGTGTTCTATATTTTGGCTTTCTGTTATCCAGTGAAGGGGGAGGGTAGGGCAGGTGAACAGTGCACGAGGAGCCCAGGATTGCTGGCCCAGTGTTGGTGCCTCTTGTGATAATCAGTAATCACATACACCAGAAACAAATCTCTTGGGCCTCCCTGGTGGCGCAAAGGGTTAAGATGCAACCCATGAAGCTGTCTGCAGCCACTGTAGCACAAGTTCAATCTCCTGGCCAGCCAGGGAAAAACCCACATGGTGTAGCAGACCTCTACTGACTCACCCACTGCTTCCCTCAGCAGTGTATTTCAGTCAGTCTGCCTGTTTGTTCCCCACTCTGTCTCTGGTGAAACCTCTCACCCCCCACACCTCTGGCCTGTACTCCAGCTCTTGTATGCATAAATAAATAAATCTTTACTAAAAAAAGAAATAAGTCTCTCTTGATTCTGGATCCTGCTATCCTCATTGCTGTCAGTGAGCCCAGTTCTGTTGTGTCCTCTTCTGTCAGCACTGACCGCTTAAGGACAAAACCACCACTGATCTGCATTGCTAGGACCCTCCCGTGGCATATTCCTCACTGCTCTGACGAAGGATACATCTTCCAGACCTCCTTTCCACATAATTCTCAAAGGATTTTCCAGCCTTAACAGCACATCCATTATAACAAGCTCATGCCTCTGCAGCTTCTAGTCCTTTCTTCCCTTGTCTGCCATGGCAGTCCAACTTGTCTCCTCATTTAATGTGAGCCATTGTGTAGAAATAGTTTCTACACAATAGAAATAGTTTCCTATTTCTATTTTAAGAAATTACCACAAATGTAGCAGCTAAAGACAACACCCAGCAATTACCCATCTGTCCTGTAGATCAGATGTCTGGTGTGGTGTGGCAGGTTTCTCTGTTCAGGTGATCAGCATGATGAATTCTTTGCTGCAGGCTCTGGGGTGGGGGGAAGTTCATGTCCAAGCCCATTCTTGTGGTTGTAGAACTGAGGTCCTCATTTCTTACTGACCATGACTGCCCTCAGCTCTCAGCTTCTAGGGGCCACCTTCATTCATTGCCACATAGCTGTTCCATCTTCAAGTCAGCAATAATGCATCATATGCTTGTGGTGAGAGTCTCTGATTTCTTCCATTTCTGACTCACAGACTTGGATTTAAAGGGCTAGTGTGATCAGCTCATGTCTACCCAGCTAATACCCAGAGTCTAAGGGTATCTGATGTCATTACAGCTGCAAAATTCCTTCTGTCATCTGTACTAGTTTTCAAATTATCTGAAACTTGGAGGCTTTACAACTATAAAATTTCATTCTTTCACGGTTCTGGAGGCTAGAAGTTCGAAATCAAGGTATTAGCAAGACTGGTTCTTTCTGAGGCCTCTGAGAGAGAATTTGTTCCATGCTTTTCTCCTAGATTCTGGTGTTTGCTAGCACTTCTTGATATTCCTTGGCTCATAACTGCATCAGTCTACTCTCTGTCTCCATCCTAACATGGCCTTCTCCTGTGTGACTCTGTGTATCCTCTCTTTTTTATAGAGATGTGAATATTGTTTAGACACTAATCTCCTCCAATATTTCTTCTTAATGAATACCTACAGAATCCCCATTTCCAAATAAGGTCATTCTGGGGTTTTGAGTGGATACGAACTTTAGGGGTTACACCATTCAATCCATTAACAAATCCACTCTGGCCCCCAAACTGATATTCACCCCATCTCAACATCCTCAAAATCTTCACCCATTCCAGGATAATTCTATATCCAAAACCTCATCTAGATATTTTCCACTTCAAAAATCCCAGCTGTCACTAAATCGGATATGAGTGCAACTCTGGGTATGAATTTATTTTATTATTCAAAAAAATGGACCATAAGCAGAAGTTTGGAAATCATTTTAAGTAGGAGGAATTTCTGTAAAGTAACTTGACTAATCTTAATTTTTGATTATTACCATTAAAAACAACAGCATATTTGTATCTAAAATATGTCATAATCATCTACTATGTAGCCGGTACTCTTCTAAGTACCAGGAATATATCTGAATTAAAACTGACCAAAAAAACCCAGCCTTCGTATTTACATCCTGGAGTTAAATATGTTCCAAATGGGTAAAAACCAATTATTGCAGAGAGCATTCTTTCCCTAACATATAAGTGAATTACTTCTTTTTGATGGTTTCTATTTGGGTGAAGAGCATATGTGAATAAGCCTTAGACATTCAGTTTGTTGGTTACAAGGTTGGCGAGAGGAGCATCCAGCTCACTTGCCTTTTCCTCGGGCACAATGGTCATGTTCATCTTCGTTTGGCATAAACATGAACCCTCCACTGGCTTGGCCCTTTGGCATGTCATTGGAGCACCTGTGTTCCTACCTGCATCCTGAGCGACTTCTACCTTGCCTCAATCACCTTATGGGCCAGCCACATGGAAATATGTGCTCCACCCTGAACATACATTTTCAAGGCATTTGTGCTTTTGTTCATGTTCTTCTTACTGCCTAAACTCACTTTCTTTACCTGATGAGAAACCTACTTAGTCTTCAAGATGTAGCAGCGACGCTACATCCTCTGTGAAGTCTTCATATTTGCTCTCTCAGATTTGACTGTACCTTGTATCTGTATCCTACATAATTGTGACTCTACTTAGCTGGGCATTCTTACTGGATCTTCTTTATTTTTTTGTAAACTGATTTGTTTCTCCAGCTAAATTGTAAACTAAGATTAATTAATATTTATGTGCTTCGCACATGCTAGGCAAATAATGAAGGGATATAAATATTAAATGACTTTGAATTCATAATATTAAAGAGATTATTAATAAGATTTCCTGATACTTAAATCTGATTAAATATATTTAATTGCAAAAGCATGAGAATATAAAATTATGCATGAAGCATTTAGTGTTGGATGAGGAATTAAATATTAAATTTGAAAAATGAAGATTTTATTTTAAACATATTAGTGACTAGAGATTTTTGTCATATACTTTCTTAAACACTACATAACTTATCCATTAACACTAAAAACAATTGATATTCACCCCATCTCAACATCCTCAAAATCCTAACCCGTTCCAGGATAATTCTATATCCAAAATCTCATCTAGATAGTTTCTACTAGTTAAAATGATAGGCCATATTTATATATTGTAATTGTATAAAAAGTAACCAAAAGAAAGTCATACCTTTTGTATTTTGACAACTTTGGGGAGTAAACGTTATTTTGGATTGTACTTTTGAGATTACTATACATAGTTACCTATATTGATTACCTATATTACCTATTTATTAACATATTAACAACACAGGGAAGGTATTTGTCAAAAGGATGTTACTCTTGGCAAAGTTGAGAAATAGAAATGAGTTGAAATATCAGAATTTTTAATTTATAATAGTATTGTACTATTCTAATAGTATTGTACATTTTGTCCTTATTTGGAATTGTTATTGGTTAAACATAATTGAAGAAAATGTGTTGCAATTTACCTTCTTTCAATTAGCAAATAAGCCATTCTAATAATTGACTGTTCGCTCATGTCTACTGCAGGCTAAGTCCTCCTGTTCTTCCACTGTGCTCCGTAGAGGAAATACGTTTGTCTACTGATAAATTTTTCAGAATGGAACCATCTGAAGTTACCAATAGTTGCTTTATTTCTGTTCTAACAAGAGAGGTAAGGAAAAAAAATCCCAACCCATGTCAAACTTTGGAATTAAGAAACAACAAAGCCTCATAAAAAGAACCTAGGAACTTGGCGAGCGTTTTGCAATGGTGTGCTTACTTCATAAATGGCCTAACGGGCAGGAAAAAGAATGATTGCCATCTGGCAGAAAGTCCCTATTTTTATCTTTCATGCTCTTCTGAGTGTTTCTCCCTGCCTGCTCTGCACCCCCACCTCTCCAAGCAGTGTGTCAGCATCTAGTTCTCCTTAAGTCACATACAACAAATAAGCTCTGTAATCCTTTTTTCCCTCTATTAGGGTGACAAGTGGGGACGTTTAAGTACACCCAAAACGTTAATTTGTTGTGGCTTATGGGATGTATAGGGACTAAAGGGCTTAGAAGTCACTTTTTCAAGTAAGCATAATTTTTAAATTTTTTCTGAAATGCTGATAAGTATAACACACACAGTACAGTGACCTCCTTGTGTAGTAACTACCTCTTTAATCATAGCGGGACCCATCTGAGGCCGTTTCTGTGAAGGACGTTTTGGCTCGCGCCGCAGCAAAGGGACTGCTGGATGGGATTGAGCTGGGTAAATCTTTAAAGCGGGACAAGAAGAAGAAAAAATCAAAAATAACCTTGCCAAAATCTTCCACTACCGATAATGACAACCTCCAACTGAAAATTGCTGACTTCCTGAGTCGAGAAAGTAACGCAAATGCTAATGGATCAGAGACATTACCAGCAAAAATTTCTCTTCCACAGAAAAACACAACTCAAGTGGGTCCTTCCTCACAGGTCAGAAAATCTAACAAGGCCACCTCCAGTCCTTTAGTGCCCACACTCATGAAAAACATACCCCCCTCCAAGTCATATTTAAGGCAAACACACTTCACAAGATCTCGACCAGAAGACAAAATGGTTGTCCTGAAACCCATAGAGATTGTTTTGCCTCCAGTAATGTTGCCATTTTCAAGTGCCCCAGGGGTCAGATCTCAGATACCAACTCATCAATTTTACTGTCCTTGGGCTGGACCCAACAGTTACGTTCCCAGCTACTTTTCCACACCATTAATCAAAAAGAAGGAAAAGGCTAAAGAACACTTACCTTCCTCCACACTCAGGCACCCTCGCCCATGGCTTTGATTGCCTTGTGCTTTTTTTATAGAGTCAAGAGCAGCTGATTTTTTTCCCCAAAGCCTGCTACTTCTCTGAGGGTTAGACATCCCTACAAAAGATACCCAATCTTTCGGTCACTTAGTGTTTTCTAAATGTGATACTACCTTCAAGGGAATTAAGACTACAGTGAGAAACAATAATGTAGGCAATTAAGGAAAACAGAATTCAGAGATTCCAACAGCTCAGTGCTGATCTGTTCTAGAATGCCCAGGTGTAGACTTAGTAGCAGCTGTTAGAACTTGACTCAACTCACTCCTGTTAACTTTCAATTTGGGCTTAGGACTCCAGTTTTAAGATGAAGTTGCCACAATTTTTTGTGAAGGTCAATACTGTTTGCCTTTTAACAGACTTCAAACTCACTCTGTGAAGGCAATCTATTAGATAAGGCACAGCTACAGCAGAGATGCTGACCCTCCCACACCCACTGAGATTGCGCTGCAGTATCTAGCCCTTTTCAGTTTAGCATTTTTCAGTCACTACTGAGGTTGATTCCCCACCCCCACCATCAAAATCTTTAAACAGTGGATGATGAGTTTTGTAGTGTGACTGAGGTTGAGTATGAGTAGGCGGAATAGGAAGGTCCAAAGTCCCAGGTGTGGGGAGTTCAGATGATAGCTCTGTTGACAGAGAGACACCTGTTTCTCAGTGGAAGGGCTTCCAGAATTTGAGCACATTGAACATAATCAGCCATTCCTTCCGACAGCCCCAAGTACTGTTGTAGAAAAGTGACTGTCGGCAATTTTCCTACTTAATAGTAATAATTCTGTGGAAGAGCAAAACTGTTGAATACGAGTGACACCTATGATTGAAGGAAGCCATAAAATGTCTGATTCAACTCAAAGATCAGGTGAAACAGTAAAATACACAAGTCATTTCATATGGCACACAGTAATCAACTTTGGAAAATCATTTCTGATGCACAATTAAAATATACTGTAGCACTGTTAATTATATTGCAAGTCAATTCATCTTGAATGTATTATCAATTGCCTACCAAGAATTGGTATGATTATCACTTCTGGGTCTACTGATTTTTTTTTTTTTTCATCATGATGACAGAAATTGTTTGACATTAAATACGTTGCAACTAAAAATTCTATTGTTAAAAAAATGTTGATAGACACATAAAGTTCAAGTTTAAAGTGCTGTTTTCAGAATCCAGTTGTGTTGAACAGTGTTATGTACATTATTAAATGTTCAATTCGGGTGGCATGGTTTTAGTAGAACATTATCTTTAAGGTGAATATTTAGGACTTTACCACCTCTAATATTCTACTCTTTATTTTCTCACTTGCAGTGAAGATTTTGAAATGATTTCATTTTATTAGTAATAAATGTTTACTTTAGCTGAAGATTTTCATTTATCTGTAAAATGTGTCAGTCAAGAAACAAAACTTTTTGCACTTGAACCAGGCCTGTTCTGAATCTCAAAAGTATTCTTATCTGAGTCTTAAAAAGCACAAATGTTTCAAATGTTTAGCTTATTTTACTAATTTCAAAAATCAAAATACTCAAGTCTTTGCTCTAAATATTGTAGCACGTGGTTCACCGTCTTTCTCCCACCCTTCAGCTGGCTTGGAGCATTGCAGGCCTCTTGGGCACAGGCATGCAGCAGAACTGAACTCTGTTCTGCAAAGAGCTGTGGTTTCATTCTATCCTTTTTATCCCTTCCCTACTCTCTTCCCCCGGCCTCAGATTGAATGGAGTCCATCGTCCAAAAGTGTTGATAACAGTTCTGAGTTTTTCACCTTAGGTAGTAAGTTATAAAAAGAAAATTCCAACTGTTGTGTAATAGTTCACATTCTTCTTCTGATCACACCAGCTGCACAAACTCCCGTCATTTTACAACCTTAGCCACTTACATTTTCAGTTCCTGATGACAAGCATCTGGTCACTGAATTACTTTTTTCTCTAAAGGTATATAGAGATTCTGAATTAAACCATTCAATCGTTAAACGCGCAGCATTCTTCTTTGAGAATCTTCTATGAAGTACATGATCTGTTATTAAATACTTTGGTAGAGTAAAAGGGGGAAATACTTAGGATAACAGCAACATACAAGAATTCTAATGAAGGGGAATGTTAATTACACTGACATTTTGCTGAGCCTTTTTGAGAAAAATGCTGCAAAGATAGAAAGGAGCAAAATACCGGTATTTAGATACTCCAATAGCAAATTCAGATATTTATCTTAATTACTTATCACTATATAATACTCGAACCAAAGTGGAAATTTTGCTCCTTGAGAACTGCCTCTGATAGAGTAAAAGATAAAACTACTAGGGGAAATGCAGGATGAACAAAAAGCGGGTACATTCTTCAAATTCTTTTTATCTTCCTCCATTTGCCTAATAGCTCAACCCACTCAGATGCAACAAATTTGTTTTTCTAGTACCTTTCATTTTGGATATTGTACCTGAACAACTCTGTATTCTTTGAGGTCAGGTTTTCGAAGCAATGAAAGACTGTCCTAATATCAGACTGCTGACCCAGACTTGTGTTGGTGACGCCTCGTGTTGGCCTCTGCGCCCACAATGCCAGGTGTCCTTCCTGATCAAATAGGGACAGTGTGAGGAAATACTCAAAATTTAGTGACTTTCCCATCCTTTCCAGGTGGGCATAGGCCATAAATAATGAGTCTTCGCTTACTTAAATGAGTTCTACACAGTTTAATTTGAAAATAAAATAACTGGCATGGAGATACTAAACTTGTAATTCTATCCCTGGATATATATGACTGAGATGTCCGATAAATGAGCCAAACATTTTATGCAGCTAAGTTTATTCTCACAACATGTTACATTTAAATGTGTAAAAGTGGTCAACAGCAAAAGGGCCGAAAGGAAAACCCAACGTTCTTTTCAGGATAAACGAGCTGCTGCAGGTGGCAGGGCGCATGCTCTTGTTGATAAAGTGCGAGCAGGACCTTTTTCCCTGAAGCTGAAATAAATTGAATTTCATGTCACTGTCTATATAACACACGTTAGCTCTGTATTAGGCTAAGGAAGCCTGGCAGACCAGGGAGCCAACGGTCCAACTAGTTAATTTGTGCTAATAGCTGTGAGTAAAATGTTTTTCATGTTGCTTATGAAATCTTGAATTTGTGTTGCGATGCTTATGAAATGAATGTGTCATACAAGAGGAAAGATTTTGAGCTTCTAGCAGAATTGTCTTATAAATGTTCATCCTAAAAATCATAAAATGGATTTTAAAAAAAGTAGCAGTGCCAACAGTTTATCACCAAGAACTTATTTTAATAGAAATGGGTCTAGTATCCCTTCATGCAATCAGACAGACACAAACAAAAAAACAATGGTCCTAATTTGCTATGGGTGAGCGTCTATCCAGGTGGAAACAAACAGCGTGTGGACATGTGTTGATTTTTGCGTTTAGATGAGTTCACACATATTGTGAAGGTTATAAAAATGAAGCACCAAGCAGTGCTTTTAAGTTTGCAAAGTAAAGTTTTTAGCCATAGGCAGGTTGGCTATTCCCCTTGATTCGGCCAAGGAGCACATATATGAGGTGGCAAGTCTGTGTCTATCTAGCTGCTTTTTAAAAAATAAAAGGAACTTTAAGCATTTTGCCTTTTCTTCTACATACTCCAATAAAAATGTAACTACAAATCATTACAAAACCACCTTTTAGGCAATGTATAGTTCACTGAGATTACTTAGACCTGGATACACTGTCAGATGCTATCCAGGAAAGATAATACCTTAACACAATAATGCAGTATATTTCAGTAAAAATAGAATAAATAAAATAAAAATATTTTAAGCTGTATTTAACAGGTTAATTAAAAAAATGATAAGACATACAAGGCATAGTGAACATGGCTGCCTGTTTACCAAATCACAGATATAAAGAATGCATAGATAACCGAAGTCACTACAACATCAGGTAAAACACCGGCATCCTTTCACAGAAAATACACACATTCTTTCATACATACTTTTTGGCCATGGCAGAAAGTGTCTGAACATATTGTGAAACATAATTTTACAAAATTAATTGCATTTAGTAGGCAAAGCTATTTTCAAAACAAAATATCTGCAGTAAAGTTTCCAATATGTAAAGGCTATTATTATTCATCTTTAATGCATCCTATAATTGCATATATAAATCAGTTTGCTACTTAAAGCTAGCTCAGTATTCTTGATCCTGAAAACAAACATACCTTAAAAAAATGAACAGGGGGTTCAGGTAGAGCTTTCCATTATAAAAATGGACTGGTTGTTCAGAATTTTGAAGTTTACCACACTAAGTGTTTCATTGTGGAGATCAAGATGCAAGATCATCGGGACTGAATTTCAAACAGCTTTCGCAGGGCACAGTAAGGATTTTCTTAACGCAATAATTTTATAATGGCACTGGTCACTTCAGATGTAATAGGAGATAGGCTGGTGAGAAGGACAATTCATTTTTCAGGTAACATCTTTTTTTACTAGAACACTAGGGTACTAGCAAACAATTCTACAATGTTGAGAGGGAAGAGAGGCAGGGGCCACCTACTAACCCCATCTTCTCTGGTGGCTACACACCACTGCTTAGGAATCCACCCCGGGGAACATCTCTGGGAAATCTTGTGGGTTGAGCTGGCCATCCTGCGTGGAGACTCCTGTCCCCCAGAGCACACGTGAGGCTCACTGTAGGGAAACCGCCCTGGACTGAGTGAGGACAGTGGTCTGCAACACCACCGCGTCTGCAATCTTGAACACGTCCCCCACTCATTCAAGGAATTCTGGGATTTCCTGACAATAATTGGATCCACCAAGAGTCATTTCTGGAAAGGCTCTTCCTGACTGGTGTGGAAACAGAACACAGAACTGGGAGCTGGGAACCCGGTTCTCTCATTACTTTTATTAGCTCTTGGGCCAGGTCACTGAGCCCCTTGGAACTTCTTATTTTTATTTCTCACATGTGTCTAATACCCTCTATATTTTATAAGGCTCAAATGTGATCTGAAAGTGGAAATTATTTTGACAAGTACAAAGCAGTGGATAAACATAAAGCATTACTTTTATAATGGATGTTGTAAAATGCTCATTTTGACATTACAAAGTAAACAAGGCTAATCTTTAAAGTGATTTCCTTAGCAACTTCCTTTTAAACCAGCATTGTCAGCAAGAGTTTAAATGTGTTTATCTTTATAGCTAAGTTTCTTAACTATATAGAGAGAGGCAGGAAAGTGCCATTTGGGGGAAATTTGCTAAATAGTCTATTGTTCCTAGGTAATGTTCTGATATGAAAGTTTCGAACCTTGCAAATAAATGGGAAAAAATTGAAAAATATATCCAGTAGAGCTCAACAAATTCTAACATTACATAAATTCAAGAAAGGTTTAATTTAATGTAATTTGTTGCCATGGACAATGCGTGATGGACAGACAGCTTTCTGGGCAAAAAGCATTAGGGTAAGACTGAGCTAGATACAGAATCCCAGCAGAATGGTTTAGCCAGGAGACGGACTGACAAAATAACGTGGTGCTGGAGATCTAAAATATAAATGCTGTTCCCTCAACTCCAAATTGCATATTGGCTAATTATCCAACTAAAGATGAAAGGCTTGCGAGGAATATTTCATTTTAATATTGTTTCTGTAGAGAATGGCCATAGTGAACTATAATTCTCTAGCTGCATTGTACAATATAAGGCAGAAGTTTGAAATATGTCCCACCCGAAATGCATTATGATTTTGTTAAATCTTTCTCTGCAAAGAAAGGCTATTTTTTGTTCGATTTTAATTTCTCAAATTTAGTTTTTCAGTTTTCACTTTCTTCCAACATCCCACAAACAGCTGTAGACATGAAATGGTATCCAGGTGTCAAAGCGCTCATCAAGGAAAGCTGCCAGTTGGTTTCTGTATCAATGCCAACAGCCAAGTTTGTCAACCGAAAGGTTCAATTTTATGAAAAACTGAAACAAAAAAGTCACCATCCTATTTTTACAGCAATTCAGTGGTATCTGCTATGCAGTGTCTACTCCAATACTGGAAACAGGGCAAAGTGCTGTAGGACGTAAGAGTTGCTCATGACAGATCCAGTCAAGAGGACAGAGAAACGAAGTCAGGCGTCATTCACTCCGAGGACTCGACATTCGCTCACTGGGAGGGGTGCGGCCACATTCTTCTCTGTGTGTGTGATGTTAAGTAATGGTCACGCTATTTACAATAAGAAAGAGACCTTCCACTGTTCATGATGTAACTTACTGACAGCAAAAAAAATTTAGTCATGCTTCTTTTCATATCATGTGATGGAGGCAAGATGAGAGAACATGCTTGTCTAACACTGTTTGGTTAACGATAAATTCTCTGAAGACAAAGCATCAGCAACTGGATGGAAGGCCGGAGAGCAGTTCATCTTCTTTAGTGTAGCTCTTCAATCTTCAGGTACAGAGTACAGAATCCTCTCACATGGGAAGCTATGGCGTTTCTGTGACAGGGCGTTTCTGTTTCAAAGTGTCAATGAGGGATAAGACCCCTCGTTTTACATTGGTTGTGACTCTTCTGGTCACTGAGTCTGCTGGCGGAGGTGGTGGTCGAACTTTCTGTGAAGGCGGCCTGGCTACCAAGCACTTCTGATATCGTAACTGAAATGGAACAGAAAACATGGCATGGTATTAATAAGGTGTCATCCCTCCTTGTTGAACACGCTTTCAACTCGTCATCAATCCATTTGCTCCCCCAAGTTAACGACTAGCCCCTAAACACAAATCCTAGTGCTTATTGTTTTTTGTCTTAATGTGTGTTGTAAATTCTCTTAAAAGATCACTAGGCTCACAAGGGTGTCCTGAGTTCTGCCAACTTTTTCCTCCATCCCTCTGCACCTTCTACTTTGTTCTCTGCATCGATAGGTTGCAAGTAATAGACCTCGCAGTCGAAGAGCGAGTGAAAAGAGAAAGGTCTGGGAGAGAGTCCTAATTCTATTCTTCACCATCGACATGTCCATCTAGGTACACAGATACACAAGGCAAGTGCCTGTGGCTAAGTGAGAAAAGGCAAAGCTTGAATCCAGGCTCTTAGCACTTTATGGCCCCAGGCATGTTATTCTCTCGGAGCCTCCACATCTTCAACTATAAAATGGCTGAAGAATAGAGATCTTTACAGAAAGCCTTATGACAAAGGAATAATTGTAGAATACCTAAAAGAAGACTAGCAGTGCTAAAGACATTCATCAATGTTTGTTCCCTTCCCTAGTTGCTGGTTTTTTGTTTTTAAAAGAACAATGTATTGAGATTTCAGGATACACTTTACATACAACTACAAAATCCTAATGAGTTAATTTTTTGAAACTCCATTAGTATTGACATCACAGATGGTATCTATCTTTCAGAAATATAGCACAGTCTACCTTCCCCCTCATGCTCACTTTTATATTAACGCAAGATAAATAGCTCTTCAAAATTAGATTAAAAGGTTACAACTCATTAAATGTTTTCTTTCCTTTTCTTCTCAAGTAATTTTTTTCGAATCCAGGCACTATAAAATAATCCCATGACTAGTTTTTAAAAATCAACTTAAATGTTAATAGGATCCATCATACAGTTGGGAAACAGTCTCATTATGTTTATATTACTTTTCCCCACTAAACTATCTACAAGACTGTGTCACAAAGCCCTGTCATAGCCCATAGGCCATAAAACTAGCTCCTTTCAACACAATCAAAGGAAAAACCATTTATCACATGTCTCCTCTATGTAGGGTGTTTTGCTAGGTCTCCATCACAACCCAAACCACACACTTCTAAACACAGATTTATAAATGGGCAGGTGTGGCAATGGGATGGGGGCTGGGGATGTCTAATGTCAGCTATGTACGTCCATGCGAATCAGAATTGTGTCTGGTGAATTTCATTAAGGATGCCTTTCTTGTTTGATTAAAAATTTCATCAAAATATCTATATTTTGTCAACAAGTCTTATTGTAAAGTTCACCAAAATATAAAAACATGGACCTATTCTACACAGTTGCAAAATGTCTGAAAATTAAATAGATTCAAAAGAATGTGTTTAACACCATGTATATCTTAGATGGTATAATTCACATATAGATGTTTCAGATGGAGAATCATGCAGGTTTGAATCAAGAGGAAAGCCTCTGCCTTAGAAACACTGGATTCAGGGTGTAAAGAAGGTCTGATCCTCTGAGTGCCTTGTCCTGGACGGGAGCCACTGCAGCTGGTTGCCCTAATACACTTAAAATAGTAAGCAAATGAGGAAAAATTGTTTGTAAGAGAGAAAATGAGTGTGGAAATTAGAAAACTGTAACCCGTGATAAAGCTAATTATTTAATTGTCATCAGTGTTTAAAATGTATAATTAAGACTGAATGCCATTCATTATGTGACTAAAACCATCTGTTATGATCCTTTTCAATTTTATGAAGTACCTAAATAGTCATCTTCCATTTTCCCTGATTTAACTTTTTTTTTTTTTAAAAGATTTATTTTATTTATACAAGAACTGGGGTACAGGCCAGATTTGCGGGAGGGTGAAAGGATTCACCAGAGACAGAGTGGGGAGCAGAACAGGCAGACTGACGAAATACACTGCTGAGGGGAGCAGAGGGTGCGACAGGAAAGGTCTGCCGCGCCACGTGGGACCCTCACAGGCGGGCCAGGATCGAACCGGTGCTGCAGAGGCTGTGGGACAGCTTCACAGCGCGGTGCTCAACTGCCTGCGCCACCAGGGGAGGCCCTAACTCTCCCATTTTTGGCCCACCTCCCCTTGTTTTTCCCACTATCCCATCTCAATTTCCTATGTCCGGTCTGGGGGGTTCATTCTGAGTCCTCTATCACCACACTTCTTCCCTGAAGCCCTCCCCCTCCCCCCTGCACCTTTATATACATGCATATTTCAGTTGGAATCCTGAGTCCACAACACTTGAGAGGAAATTGTACTTCAAAGAATTATGCTAAGAATGAAATACCCGGGTCTTCCCTCCCGCCTCCCTTCCTGCTCCATTTTGAAGGCATCTTTTAAGCTAAAAGTCAATGGCTCTCTTTCTCATTCCCCATCTTTGCCACATACTATTCTTATCCTTTTCTCTCTGTTTAAATCTAGCAATGCACTGGATGAAAAAACAACAAAATAAACCAGAGCTTCCCCTCAGTTCCTCAAATCACACCCATTCTTGGATTCTTAAGTGTCTTCTGGCTTCTCTCTACCCCTGGTGTGAGGTTAAGTCCAGCCCTTGCTCTTAATCTAGACTTTGCCCCACCAAGACCACCACGACCTTGGCCCAACAAAATACATGTATGACCCCAGTTAGGCTCATTTCCCTCAGCCTAAGAGATGTATGAGCCCTTCCTCCTTCACATCCTAAAATAAATGAACAAGCCTCTCAAGGTTGTACTTCAGACTCCCCTTCACTGTGAGATTTTTCAATTTACTTTCTGTGCCTTCTTTTTCTTTTCAGTCACTTCTCAATCCATAGCAGTCTTATTTATTTATAGCACTTTTTACACCATAATAGAATTTTGGTTCATGTATCTCCACCCCCCTCCAGTCCTAAGCTTCATAAAGCAAGGAACATATCTCAGCCCTACTCCAACTTCCCAGAGTCCAGCCCATAAATGGTGCAGTGAATTAAATGATGCACAGATGCTTCAAATCCAGCAGCCCTCATCCCCAAGACAGATGCTGCTGTATAGCATCCCTCAGCTCTGTGACTCTGGTTTAGATTCTTTTCAACTCTCACCAGAACCAGCAAATTGGATGATCTCCCCACTTTAGTCTTATGCTTCCAACTTATCCTCCACTTTAAACTGGAGCACACTTTAAAAACCTAATACATGGCCTCCATGATGGCGCAGCGGTTGAGCACTGGGCTGCAAAGCTGCCTGCAGCCTCTGCAGCACCGGTTCGATCCCTGGCTGCCGGGTGACTGTCCCAAATGGCACGCAGACCTCTCCTGTCTTGCCCGCTGCTCCCCTCACTAGTGTACTTTGTCAGTCTGCCTGTTCTGCTCCCCGTTCTGGCTCTGGTGAATTCTCTCACCCTCCCGCGCTTCTGACTGTACCCAGTGCTTGTATAAATAAATAATTCTTAAAAAAATAAATAAAAATAAAAACCTAATACAATCAGCCCACTCTCCTGTTTAACGGTCTTTGCTGAGACAAGATACTCTGATGTCACCTTTCATGACACAGACCTCCCTTCCTGCCAGTTGGCTCCAGCAACCCTCCCTGCTGTTGCTAAATATTCCATGCACCCCACATGTGAAGTCTACATTCACACATTCCCCTCATTTTTATCAGAACTTGCTCAGTTCCTGGCATAGCAGGTGCTCAAAGGATATTTACAGAATGGATAACAAGGTCTTTGTGTTTGAAATCATACACTGTGGCACAAAGAACACTAGCTTTGTGACCAGACATCTGTGGGCTTCACGCAGGCTCTGACACCAACTCTGCCCTGGCGGGGACCAGTCTTTCCTTGTTTGCTCACAAATAAAACACAACACTTACTTAACAGGGTTGTTATGAGTTAAAAGATATAAATGAATTATGTAAGAAAAATGTACTTCAAGCCAACTATCTGAAATAAAAATCACTCAATGTACTGCATTTTAAAAAAAAGTACTGAGTTGGTTCTAAACAGCACCAACTCATGCATGACTAACATTTTTTGATCACATACTGAAATTAATTAGTGATCAGGATTTGAGAATCCTCCAATTTGTAGTTTTTAAGATCGACCTTTCAACGCTACCAATCTCTACAGAACTGGGCTCTTGCTTCTCTCAGGGGTCCTGGCCTCCGAGATGGTGAATGGCTGGTGCTGACTTCATGCACAGGAATGAGTGCCTTCCACTGAAGCATTCCTGTAGAGATTTGAAGTTTGTCTTTTTAATTAGTAACACATCTCTAGTTTACAGCATTTAAAATAAAAGCAGGGGGCCTGCGTGGTGGTGCAAGGGGTTAAGTGTCAGCACTATGAAGCTATTGGTAGCCACTGCAGCATGAGTTCGATCCCTGGGCAGGGAGCTGCCCACATGGCACAGCAGACCTCTCCTGTCTTGCCCACTGCTCCCCTCAGCAGTGTATTTCAGTCACTCCGGTTGTTCTGCTCCCCACTCTGTCTCTGGTGAACCCGCTCACCCCTCGCACCGCTGGCCTACACCCCAGCTCCTGTATGCATACATAAATAAATAAATCTTTAAAAACATAAAATAAAACAAAACAAAGGCAGGGGCACAGGCGTGGGATGGGATCACTCACCATGCAGGCAGCCTGGACCGCTTCTGACACGTTAGCAGCGTTGGGCTCACACCAGAAAACATGGCACTCAAAGCGCTGGTTCCCAGTGTCCATGATGAAGGCAAAGGTATGGACGTCCTTCCCCACGCCCATGAAGGACAGGAATCGCACACGACACTCCACAAGGATTTCCTCTTCATTCTGCAAGACACGTTGTTCAGTTGCCCACACTCTCTGGGAAGCCAGCACCTCAGACACATTCAGACCTTAAATCAGGCTTAGAGTGGTGACATGAGGAACTCGTATTAAAACACAGTCAGACGGAATGTAGAGGAGACTTAAGGCAAGTTTCTAAATGTGTCTGGAGAGCCCATAGTTAGTGTGAGCTTTTCATTTTGGCGCTGAATCACACTCTGAACTATATTGACCACACACTGAGCTGTGTTCTGTCCTCCATTACTCTGCTTCAAGCCTGTGAGTTCACAGTGGGTAGAAACATCATCATGCATTCTCCTTCCATCTTGCCTGCAATCAGCATCCAGTGGCTTAAAATCCATTTGCCCAGGTGAACCCACTGGCCACCAAGCCCTCTGGGAGATACTGTAAGCAAGTGGCATACAGTTCCCTCTGGCAAATGATTTCAGTCTCTCAGGTACATGAGGTGAATGAATCAGGAGCTCCACAAAAGAAGCTTCGGAGTCCAGAGGAAAGTAAAGTTGTACAGAGATCCAGACACAACAGGCAAAATCATTTTTAAAAAACGTAAGCTCTGTCAGTTACTGGCAGAACTCTCCAAATGCCAAATCTGGGCCCTGTGTCTAAGTTTCATGGATGATTACTATATCCTCAACCTCTCCGTAACCCAGAGAGGACACCCCTGGGGATCCATGGTCCTTCATACCTTTTCACTGATGACAGTCACAGTAGCATCGGCCACATTCATGTTCACCGATGGCCAATCCTCCTTGTTGGATGAGGTCATGAGACTCTCTATGGCATCGTTCAGGGTATCCATTCCTGTGGGTGGAAGGCATCAGTGAAAAAGGTCCAAAAGCTATTTATCACATTCATAGTTCTCAACCACCCAGCAATATCAGCTATATCCACAAGACGAAACCTATTTTTTAGCTCCACAAGACGAGACCACTCACTTGTGCATTTCACTGCTTAAAAAAAAAAAAAAGAAAGAAAGAAAGAAAAAGAAATGGCAGCTTTTTCAAAAGAGAGACGACTCATGAGAACTTCCAGAGTATAGTGTGTGATGCCCTGCTTGACTAGACCACGGTTCTCTCTCTCTGTCTCTCCCTAGCCATGAGTGTATCAACAGTACTCAAGCAAATGCTACCTTTTTTAAAGCAAAGAACCCAGGGAAAGGGGACCCAACAGAAGCCAGCATTTGCTGGAATACCCTGATCTTCCTTCATTTTACATTGTGCATTAAATGAGGCCAAGTTTGGATGGTGCCTGTATGTGAGTACTATGTGCTATTAAATGGGGTTCTTTTGCTGGGTGTCCCCAGAGTTGTATTTTTTTTTTTGGAGGGGGGTGGACTGGGGTGGTAGGATAGTGACTTATCATACAACTTAAAAAAAAAAATCAAGAAATGGGCAGAAGAGCTAAATAGCATATGGCCAATAGGCACATGAAAAAATGCTTCTCATCAGTTGTCATCAGGGAAATGCAAATCACAGCAACATAAGATACCACCTCACATCTGTGAGAATGACCCATATTAAAAGCACCAGAAACAAGTGCTGGTAGAGGTGTGGAGAAAAGAGAGCACTTGTAAACCATTGGTAGGAATGTAGACTGGGTCCGCTACTATGGAAAACAGTGCAGCAGTTTCTCAAACTACGAAAATAGGTCTACCATATGATCCAGGAATCCCACTCCTAGGTCTCTACTCAAAGAATGCCAACGTATGGAAGTATACTTTATCTAGCCATTCATCAGCTGACAGATATTTGAGTTGTTACCACTTTTTGACTCTCATGAATAATGCTGCAGTGAACATCTGTGTACAGGTTTAGCATGGACAGATGTTTTCATTTTACTTGGCTGCAGGCCTAGAAGCTGAATTGCTGGGTCACAGTAATTCTATGTTTAGAATTCTGGGGACCTGCCGGACTGTTTTCCAAAGTGGCCACACCATTTTGCTTTCTTCCCCGTCATGCATGAAGGTTGTGGTCACCCCTTAAAAGGAGAGTGATGGCTCCCTAGGCCCTTTCTCCCTGTTTGCCAATGGACAAGGATGCAAGCTGGTGCCATGGCCCCAGCGATGGAAGCCCCATGGAGAATGGCAGAGGCTTTCTGCAGCTATGGATTGACCTCTCTGGACTGGGTGGTGTCTGCCTTGTTAGATCCTAAGATTCTGGGGATCACATGTCAGCTCATAGGCAGCTTAGCCTGTCCTCTGCTGCTCTTTGTTCAGGACTCTTTCTATGGTCTGGCTCATGGCAGTGTGAGCCCCTGATCAAGACAAAGCAAAGGGCAGACCCCACCCTCTGGGCGAGGAGAGCGACATGGGTGTTTCACATACCGACTGGTTTGTCTACAGGTAACATGCCCAAGTACTGCACGTGGAACTTCTGGACCAGCTCAGTCTTTGGTGTTGGAAAATCTACTATAGGGAACAAAAAGCAACACGTTTTTCTCAGTGGTTCCCACTCAGACATAAAAAACAGCCATCACGGTGTCACCTGCAATGCTTAGAACCTTCCCTGTGCCATAATATCCTGCTTCTAGACGTAAATGTGGCCGATTGTTCTATGAGAACAGACATTGGGGATCTGTCAATAAAAATCTCATTCAACTTTCATTCCTAGGTAGGAAAGCATTTGAAAGCAGGACCTGGAATCTAGATGGAACAGCTGCTACCATCTCTTTGTTGTGTGCTAATAAAACACAGCTTTTGATGTCCTATTTGTTAGGTGCGGTTGATGCCCAGAGAAGATTTAATCAGAAGGGACATACTGAGAGACAGGAAAAATAATAAATGGAGTCCCCCCAAATATCAACCCATATATTTTTAAAGTAGTTGACCCTTACCCCAGGCTGTATATAAGTTATAAAATCACTGAAACGAATATTCCTTAATCTCACCCAACAACAACAAAACTCATCCTGGCCCTTTGTGCCTAATCCTACTGACACAGAATCAACTCTATGCACAAGGCACCGAGAGTGCATGCTCAGCATGGGTTTGCTGAGTGGAGCGTGGATTTTAAGGAGACCTGAAACCGCAGGCAACCATCTGAGAAGCCTCGGATCTTGACTCTGGGAAGGGAACACAGGGCTGACCTACCTTGCAAGGGCACGTCGAGATTCACATTGGTTCTTTCCTGTAAGGAGCTGCAGGCCAGGGCTTTGGCATTCTTCCGCTCGGCCATAATCTGAAGAAGAGAACAGACAGCATTGGTTACAGACCCCTCGTCTTCAGTTATTTCAGCCAAGAAAGCGCCAGAGCTGATTTCACTTCCCCGTTACATTGACTTCAGTCTATTCCCTGGCTTCCTGCCTTCGTATCTTCGGAGCTACACAGTTTGAAAACTGTACTAAATTTCCTGGGGCTAACAGGTGAAAGACTATTCCTCAGTGTTACAGTTTCCTAATTTGGGGGAATTTATTCTTCCTTAGGCTCACACCTGTACTCAAATGACCCAAGTAAATATCCGTGGCTCTTCCTTGTTTTGTAGATGAGTGATTTTGGACCAGTTCCTGACACTCGAGGACCCTCTAACATGCTGGTTGCTTCTCCCTGGACTTGAGGTGCAGCGCCCTGCCACCCTTTCACATCCCTTCCTGCTCATGCAGTGAGCAAAGAGAGAAGAATGGACCCCCAAGGGCCACCTTACCTTGGAACAGATTTCGTGGAGACTTGTGGCAATGGCTTTTGCTGGTGTGTCACATCGAAATACATGACATTTCAAAATTCTTGTATCTTTGTCTCTTGCTACATAGGCAAAATCTCTGTGCAAACAAAATTTATCAGTACATTAGTCAAAGGAAACTTTGCCAGCACACACTCTGGTGATGAATGTTAACTGAGTTAGCAGCCAGCATGTCAGTGGTAAACAGAGGATGACGTGGTTAAAAAAAAATTAAATTTCAACAGCTACCTAAAACAGCAACAATTTTATGGGCATGAAGAATTTATTTCTGAGCAAAATAACTACAATCATCCCTAAACCTGGTCTGCTGAACTCTGGGAATTACTAACAACACTTCATGAAAACAGAATTTTAGGGGAAATTTCTGTCAAAAGTAGTAACAAATATTTTGATTCTAAAACAGAAAACAGGCTTGGGAAAAGCATGAATTTGCACAAGTGATATTATGACAAACACAGTGATGTAGCAGAAGCAAAACAAAAGGCTCTGATGTGCAAACATGTGTGCAGAGAACGGATCAGACCCACGGCTGCTTGAGAGAGTCGATGGGCAAGCGCAGGGCGGGCGGGAACACAAAGACATGGCAGAGCCCGCGGCCTATCAAAGGCATCGGAGCCTGTGAAACAGGATTCTCACCCTCCAGGGCTGAGGCGACAGCAGCTGCCTCACACTCTACATGGCTGGCTCTGCCACCACGGGGAGCAGGCAGCTGTGCTGGATTTTAGCATCTGTTCTACTGATGAAAAGGATACTGACTGGAACATTACCTGGCTTCAGAAAGACCAGGGAGGCAACTAAATCTCGCCCTGCTATGACTGGAGGATGGTGGCTTTAAGATCAAGTGTTCATGAAAAATCAGTGCCCAGAGGCACCTATCTTGTACTTAGCCTATGCTGCTAAGCAAGGACACTGTAGCCCAAGCCACACACAGCTATTTAATTACTTCTCCTAATAACTGGTAGTCATGGCACACGTTAGATATTTTCCCCAAATGGGGATGTCCTGTTTTCCTTAGGAAGGCACAGAGGTCTACCCTGAAGGCAACTGGCCCTCAGGAAGGTGAAGCAGGGAGAGGCTGGTCCCCACTTCCCACCCCAGCCCTGCCAGGCCCCAGGCAGCCCCACTGTGGCTCCCTAAATGCCCGCTCCACAGCAGGGCCATCTTTACTCAACTCTCCTCAGCCTGTCCACACCTCACCTCAACATCTGCTCTTCCCAGGCTTCCCCTCCTTCCTCATGTTCTGTCTCAGCTGGTGTTCTCCACGCTAGAACCAGGAGGCATTCCAGACTCCCCCCTCACCCTCCATACCCAACCCCCACATCTGGTCTATTTTACCTCCTGAAATATCCTGTACCCTCAATCCCCCACCCGGCCCCCCGTCCTGCCCAACCACCAGCTCCACCACCACCCCAGCATTCTAAGCAGGTCCTCCGCACCTGCCTCTGCTCCTACTCTCCCCACGCCCTTGTAGGCTTTAGGACTTGGCAGAGCTGGGGCTGCCCACCCCACTCCTCAGACACTGCCCTTAACTCTGGGTGCCCTATGTGTCTGCTTATGTCTTTTCCACAACTACTGGAGATACCATGGAGATAATTTGTGCCTAATCCATACTCAAGACACAGCTCAGGCCTGCCCATAACCAGTATAATAAATACTTGTTGACTGAGAGCTTTCTCTTCCCCAAAGCAGAGGGTCTGCAGAACACAGCCCTGCTTCCCGTCAGCAACACTGGCCCCCAGAGGCATGAACGTCCCAATAGTGGGCAAGGGGCGGGTCTGAGCAAGGAGCTGGGCTCAGACTGTGACAGGTGGACACAGTGTCACTCCACACTGGGTTCCACAGGCCTTTCGATCTATGTCTCAACCACCATCAAGGCAACACGCTACTTAAAACAGAAATGAAAGCATCACTTTGGGGGCGGTGCTCTAGGGGGGCCTGTTTTGGCCCCCTTCCCTCTGGCTATTCTTTTTTCTTTGATGAACCATAAATAAGTACAATGTCTAACCACACATACTCTTTTCCTCCATAACTCCAAGCTCAGCCACCATTGTTCCGAGGCTCAGTCTCTCAAAGCTCCACGGACACCCATGGAGAAGTTCACAAGTGCTGGTCTGCATTTCAGGAGTTCCAAAATTTTTTGCACCTGCTCTTCCAGTGCTAATCCTCCAGCATCAGAGCTTGGCCCTCTGCTCCAGAAAGGTGGGTGTCCAAGTGCACTTGTGGGGTCTCCTTCTGCTGCCCACCGCCCTCCTGCACTGTCTGCAGGTCACAACCCTTCTAGTCTGAACAACCCCGGCACATCAGCCTGCCTCGCCCTCTGGCCTAACTGCTTACAGCGCTGAAACTCCTCCAGCTCTGTCCTTTGTGGTTACTGCACAGGTCTCAACTGTGTCTGTGTTCTCTCAGAGAGAGTACGGGACAGCCAGGGGCAATGAACTGGGACTCAGGCCACCAAATTCTAGTCCCATTCCTGATTCCACTGAGCTATATGACTGTACCGGTGTCTAACCTCAATGAATGAGGGGTCAAAAAACATGATTTCTACGGTCCCTCTGGCTGTGATACTCTGATGTAAGCTTCCGAGCTCCATTCTTTCCCTGTGCGTGCTGGCAGCCAACAGGTGGGGCAACTGCAGGGTCTCAGCAGGAGAATGAACTGGCCCCCAAGCAGTGGGCAGGGGGGTGGGGCCTACACACTTCAGCCCTGGCCCTTTCTCTTTTCACATGTAACAGCCTAGGAGTAATTTCTTTTTAAACATTATTATTAATCTTTATTTTCTTCTGGCTTGGAGGAAGGTGATTGATTAATGTCTAAGGGCAGCCACCTGGGACCCACAGAGGAGAAACTTGAGCAACCGTAGGTTTGTTTGGCAGTTTCACTTTGGACAGTGTTGGACAGTTGTTTTACAACCATATCTTCTCCTGTTTCCTGCCAGGCACTAGGCTAATAAAGCAGAGAGGTAGGAATGTTTTGGTCCAGCACAGCGGGAGAATCTAATGACAAATCCTCTAGGGGCTAATCTGCTAGTCTGCTTCCAGAAAGAAAACAAACAAACAAACAAACAGATTTTCTCTGCTCCTCACTGTGGAGGTCAAGTGACTTTGGTATCACCTATTTTATTGCCAAGAAACTTCTCCCGGAGCACCTTCAAATAGATGAGAGCCCCAAATGTGGGGCTTTATGAGAGGGAGCAAGGCCCTCGGTCAGACCTGCAGCAAGGTAAGTTGAACAACTTCCTTTGCATGTGATGAAATACATAGCTGAACTAACCTCATCATTATTCGGAACAGAATCCAAACATCTCTGGACTGGGCATTTTAAAAACCGACTTCTGATAAAGTTCACAGTCCGAATGCCCAGAATCTACAAATATGTTATCTTAGAGGACGAAAGACAGGAATGATCTAGATGAGCTGCCAGCCTGGATTACCTGGGTGGGCCCAACGCAATGACAAAGGGAAGGAGGCAGCACTTTTTACAAGTGAAAAAACAGGAGCAGGACCCGGAGCCCAGGCGGGCAGGCAGCTCTAAAAGTTGGAAAAGGTCAGGCATGCGTTTCTTGTCTTGGAGTCTTAGAAGGAACACGGCCCTGCCAACTCCGTGGCTGTAGCTTCCAAAACTGTAAGAGAATAAATTCGTGTTGCTTTATGCCAGTTTGCAGTGATTTAGTACAGCAGCAATGGGAAGTGAATGCAGCTGCCAGTGGGCTTTATGTTCTCATTAAAGTATGCTGTGATATTAAAGATTCGGGTATAAAAAAATGATTCAATTCACTTCCACAAATACCGTCTGAGCCACTTTTAAGTGCCAGGCACCAGATAGGCAAACACAGGCAAGGCTGAGCTCAGGAAGCCCACAGTATAAAGTTCCAATGACCTCTGAGTTTCCCTGAGGTAGACGAGGGACCTCACCAGAGCAAGGGGCAGCAGACAGTTCAAGAATATTCAAATGGGCATGGCAAGGAAGGCTCTGGGAAACTGTGAGGACTTTGGTCGTGCTGTGCTGTCATTGGAGCTGGTGAGGTCAGGTGCTGTGTCTGCAGGGGCTGGGACAGTCACCCAGAATCTGTGCACTGAGCACCTTTGTCCTGTCAGGTCCACCCTTACCCTGAGTCATCGAAGGCCAGTGACTCCATCTGACACATTTTTAAATTTTCTTCTAGAGGAATAAAGTGGATCGAAGGAAGGAGACCACTAAGGGCTGCCACTATGGCCTAGGTGAGGGAGGAAGAGCCAGGCTAAGTTACATTCAGGAGAAGAGGAAAAGAGGGGACTGACGGGAGAGGTACTGGATGGACAGCACTAGGACTGGTAGTTCTGCTAGATGAGGGGGAGAATTCAGAAACCCTGGGGTCCCTGCTGGGACAACTGATCCCTTCACATTGGGGTGGGAGAGCAGGTTTGGTGAAGGAAGCAGATGGACTCCATATTGGGCATTAGATGTGGTTGCTTAAGATGCATGTGGGTGGGAGGGGAGGGCACTAAGCAGGTGGACTCAGTCCCTGAGCTCAGGCCTGTGGTCTGTGATGGAGGCAAAGACCTGAGAGGCAGCTAAAGACAGGGCAGCAGAGGAGCGTGTGGAGAATAAGACAGACAAAATAAGGCCTGAACCTCCAAGGAAGAAAGGCATCCAAAGATTGAGTAGAGGCCAAGTGCCCTGTGGAAGTAGAGAAAGATTCTGGGGAGGGCAAAGCCCAGGAGAGACTGGCTGTAAAGACACCAGGGAAAGGATGTTTGTGGGGAGTGGAAGTCTTCAGAGCAGCAGCAGACAGACTGTTCATTTACAACAGGGAGGAAGGTCGTGGTGACCTTAGTGTCTTGGGCCCTTTCCTTGGAAGAGGGAGTTCTGGGTCAGGAGACTGAGGAATGTAGGTGTTAAAAGAACAGAGAACATCTATCATTTTTTAAAAAGCTTCTCATTCTGGAATCTTCAGTCATTGAACTCCCATGTCCCACCACACAGCTTCAGCAATGACCAACACATTGCAACTCACTCATGCAGAAACGTTTTCCTGTTCATTGTTAGGACCCTAGAAGACCTTGTGCTCATGCATATGAGCAATTTAATATTTTCTAGAAC